CTAACGGGCAGCGGCGCAGGGCTTCCGCCACGCCGCTACCGCGCGCCTCCGGCCGCGTCCATGGCGGGGTTCGAGCCCATCGGGCGGCTGCCGCTGCTCGGGGCCAGCTTGGTGCGAACGCAGTCGGGTCCCGGCAGAGCGTCGACGCTGTCTGCGCCTCTCTCGCGGGCCACGAGCTCCAACAGCGTCGCCCGCTCTGAAGGCGGCATGGCCGCCCGGCCACCGCAACGCTCGGCGAGGTCCTCGACTGCAACAGATGCAAGCCAGCAGGACGGTCGCCTCCGAAGACCTAGCGACGAACGCGACCTGGACGACGAGGGGCTCGACCTTTCCGATGACGGCGGCGAGCAGCTCATCAGCATGAGCCTAGACGGCAGCGAGCTCGGAGAAGCAGAAGACAACGTCGACCTCCCCGACTTCGAGGATCCAGACACGACGCTGCCCGCGGAGCCCTCGTCCAATCGGCTTCAGCAAGTCGCGGGCGGCGGGCTGCAGACGTCGGCATCGATGCGGAGCATGGCCGGCGGCAAGAAGGACTACATGAGCCTCGCCTCAGTGGCCAGCCCGGCGGGGCCCCGTAGCAACGCTGACGTCGCCGCGCTGCAGAGAGAACTCGAGGAGCTCCGGACCAAGGTCAGGATCCTCGAGAAGCGCAAGGAAGACGACCGCGAAAAGATGCGAGAGATGGAGCGCATCAAGGACGAGGCCGACCAGTTCCTCCTGCTCAAGGCCAAGCTGACGGCCAAGCTCGAGCAGACTCAATCGCAGCTGGCCGACCTGCAGAGCCAGGAGAAAGACTGGGAGACGCAGCGCGAGTCCTTGATGCAGCGGTACGAGGACCTCTCGATCGAGGTCGAGGCCGCCACCATCGACCGCGAGATGGCCGAAGAGGAGCGCGAAAAGTTCAAGGGCCAGCTCGAGGATCTGCAGGTGCAGATGAACGTGCTGCAAGCCTCGGTGACCAAGTACGAGACCACCGAGGTCACCGAAGAGGAGCTCGGCTCCGCCGCGTTCATCAGGATGCAGGAGCACAACGAGGCCCTGAAGCAGACGCTGGCGAGGTAAGTCGGCGCTGTCCAGCTGTCCCGTCCCGTATGAGCAAGGGCGCGGTTGGCGGGGCTGGCATAGCTGGCACGACCACGTCGGTCTCACACTCCGGCGCGACTGATCCTTGTACTCACCATTCACTTGTCCCTCACTTCAATTCTGCAAATTCACAGAGTGCACCGACAGGCGAGGGAGACGGAGAACGAGCAACGCAAGGAGATCGCTGAGCTCAAGGACGAAGTCGCCGAGTTTGAGGCCTTGATCTCGACCTACGACAAGGCCCTGTCCGACGTGGCGCTCAAGGAAGCCCAGATCGAGGACCTGCGATCGAGGCTCGACGACGCGGCCCACGCCGAGGAGATGCTCTTCGGTCTCCAGGAGACCAACGCGAGCCTGTCCGACAAGATCGCAGGCCTCCAGGCCGAGATCGAGGACCTCCTGACGACAAAGGAGCTCGACGACGAGCTGGAAGAGGGCCGCTCGCAAGAAATCAGGGATCTGCAGCAGGAACTCGACGTGCGCGGCGCCCAGCTCTACGACCAGGAATCCAGGGTCCAGGCCCTCGAGCTGGTGGTGGTCGACCTCGAGGACACGATCAAGCAATTCAGGGAGGTCGTGGCCGGCCAGTCGAGCGAGCTCGAGAGCGTGCGTGCCGAGCTCGAGCAGAGCCGAGGCCCGGACGAGGAGGGAGGCCGGAATGCGCCGAGCCAGAGCCAGGCGATGCTCAACCTCAACATGAAGCTGCGGTCCTCGGCGCTCAAGTCGCAGGCCAAGACCATCGAGCTCGAGCTGGGCAGGATCTCGGCGTCGCAGGCGCTGACCCATCTCGAGATGCTCCGGCCCTACCTGCCCGCCGCATTCTTCGAGGAGGACGCGGACGCGGTCCACTGCCTGCTCTTCTTCCAGAGGATGGCGCGCAAGGCCGACCTCATCAAGACAATCGTCGAGATGAAGCACGACATCCAGGAGAGCATCGCCAGCGTCGTGCCGGAGCAGCTGGTGGGCATCTGCCAGATGCGGCACAACCTGGCCCATTTTGCCGCCTCGTCGCGCCAGATCGCAGCAGTGCTGCGACTCGCGCCCGTCGAGATCTTCCTAAAGGCCGGGCGCATGTACCGCGAGAACATGTCGGTCGAGAGGAGGGTCGACATGTACATCGAGAGCCTGCGACGAGAAGAGCTCAAGGAGATCGAGTGCGGGCAGGAATTCTCGAGATTCATCAAGCAGTTCGAGGACTTTTCCATGGCCCTCGGCGGCGACGAGAACGACTCGGACCTGGCGGCCAAGGAGGTCGGCTCGGCGACGCTCATCGACCACGACCTCGACACCCTGATCGCCGCCATCGGCTTCGCCAAACAGAGTATTGCCGGGCTGTACGACGAGGACGAGGCCGAGTGGGAGCTCGGCTCTCACGATCTCGACCGGGACATCTTTGAGCCCCTCCAGTCCCTCATCGACAACCTCAAGGCCACACAGGGCGCGACGAGGAAGGTGCTCAGGCGCCTCGTCAACCTCTCGGCCAACGACGAGGCGGTGCGGATGGAAGCCATCATGGACCTGCCTCCGCTTGGCCGCCTCACGAGCCAGCTGGTCACGTTCGCGACGCAGCTCTCCAACAACATCGCGGCGCACGTCGCCGAGGTCAGGGTGTCGAAGTCGGCCTTTGACGTGTCCCGCGCCATCGGCTTTGTCCAGGAGGCAACGCAGGAGAGCCTCGGCAAGGCGGATAGCAGACCTTGGGCGGCCCCGCTCGAGAGCATCGCCCACCTCTCGACGACCATCGGATCGGTCCTCGGTGCCATCACCGAGCAGGATAATGTCATCAAGATCTCGGGCGCGCAGCCCTGGCTGGCCCGAGTCGAGCACATCAAGGCTGCGGCAGCGCACAACGCCGAGGCCGAGCGCCAGATCGCCAAGCTCAACGACGAGGCGCGCGACCTGTACCGCCAGATCAAGGCGCGCGACCAGGCGATGCAGGAGTCCGGCATCAAGCTCGAACGGCTGCAGAAGCAGGTCGAGAAGTCCAAGGAGCAGTCCGACCAGATGAACGACATGCGCGGCGGCCTCGTCGAGGCTCTCAAGCAGTCCAAGGCGTACCAAGAGGCCAACGACGCCCTCCAAGCGGAGCTCGACGCCCTGCAGCAGGAGAACGACCGCCTCAAGCAGCAGGCCGCCGAGAGCGGGGTCAAGATCGGCACCGCAAACGGAAGCGCGGAAGGCGGCCCCGGGGGCGATAAGGAAGGCATGGACTTGGCGCCCATCGTCAGTTTCAACCTCGAGACCCGACAGCTCGTCGAGCGCATCGAGGCGCTCCGAGGCGCCGTCAAGTATCTGCGCAACGAGAACATGTACCTCAAGACGGCCAACCTCACGCAGCAGATGCAGGCCCTGCCGTCCCTGGTCGGAACGGGACCTTCCAAGACCGCGAGCGACGCCGGCATCGAGCCGCAATCGACGTCGTCTCCGGCGCAGACCTCGGACGAAGAGGAGACCAAGGTCGGCGGCAAGGTTGTCGGGCTTCCAGCTACCGAGAAGCTGTCCTCGCGACCCAAGGGCAAGGTCGTCGGCGGCCTCGACCTGCGCCTCGCCTCGGACGAGACGCGCAAGCTCCACTCCCAGCTCCTGTCGATCTGCGCGCTGCCGAAGCTGGTCGACCTCTCCAATGTCAACCGCGTCGTTGCCACGGCGGTCAAGCCGGTTCAGAATGCCCCGAACGGAGCAGCGACGGCGGCGTCCAGCGCCTCTGGAAAGGAACAGCAGCGCTCCGTGCGCGCGTGGCGGCCGCTGGACCAGCACCCCTCGATGCAGCTCTGGAAGCAGCAGGAGGCGAAGCGCAAGGTGGCCGACAGGATCCGGGATCTCGAGGCCAGCACGCGAAAGGCCGCCGCCTCGGCTGCATCGAGACGGGGCCTGGGCCTACCCATTATCGCCAGCATCGTCAAGGTGTAGGGCGTCGCCGTCCAGATCCTCTTGATATACCCTTTGGTCGTCGCCGCTGTTCCCCAAGACATCTAGTACTGCATTTTCGCGTTTCACATTCGAGCTTAGCCTGCCCTATCCTCTGCATGTACCAGTCTGGTCTGTCGATGACCTCTTGCTTGCGAATATATACACGGGCGCTCAAACAGCTTCTCCCCGCCTCGATGGAAAGACATGAAGGGCGCAAATTCCACGGGAGGACCTCGTGGTCATGCTGCAGATTAAAAAAAGGCGGGGTGGACGTCGGCGAGAGCGAAGGACATGGCGGTGCCGGCGAGGCCGAGTACTACAAGGGACAGGGACGGGGTCGTGTAGGCGGCGGCAGATGACGAGGACGAGGAGGCTTGAAGGTCGTGGCAGATGGTGCCGATCGACGACTTTGCGCTGCTGGCCCCGCCGACGTTGTTGGCAGGCGGGCTGGTGCAAGGGCGTGTGAGAAGGAGAGACGGCTCGCATCAGATTCGGTACGAGCCAAGGAGCGTCTGGCGAGAAAGAGGGCGCTTACCAGTAGATGGAGCTACCGTTTACGACCGAGATGCCACCAGGATAGGCCTGTTACGGTGCAGTCAGGGTTGGGATGACAAGGGTCAGCCATCGTCAGACACGCTCCCCCGGGGTCTACCTCCAGGGGGGGAAAGTAGGTGCTGAACGGAAGCTCACCGACTCAGTGATTTTTTCCGGTACGGGCGAGGCGAGGACGGCGACTCCTCGGTCCTCCAGGGACGAAGAGAGGGCGACGACGAGGACGACTAGCGCAAAGCCAAAGATGCGACGCCAGTGGAACGAACAGGCCATGGTTGCTTGCTTCTGCTGCGTCTGATGCGGCTGTGGCTGTGGCTTGGCGGTTGGGCGGGTCGCGTCGGTGTTGATCTGGTCGACGTCGAGTCGTCGAGGACGGCGAGCGGTCAAGGTAAAACGATTAAGGTATAATAAGCGACGGGAACCGTTCCAGCCGGATTCCTGGGATTAATAGACAAAGGGAAAGGGAACGCAGGTGCAAATGTCCAGGTGAGAGCGGGTTGTGGTATCGTCGAGGTGGATGGGGAGGGGGGCGAGACGGTGGGGGCAGACGGACGATGTCTGCTTATATGTCCCTCGAAGGAGGCTTCGAGGAGGGACGGGATGGAGCAGGGCCCTTTGTCCCGTCCCCTCCCGTCCCGTTGTGTCGCCGCGGTGCGGGACGCAGGTCGACGTGATGTATCCGGGACATGCCTGCCTGCCTGGTCGGTCTGCCCCGCTGCGTTCGACGAGTGCAGACAGACGAGATGCTGTACGCCCGCTGGCCTGATTCAAGTGGCGTCCAGACGACAAAGGGGACGGACGGCAGAACCTGAGACAAGGACCCCGCAAGAGTGGCGTTGCCACGCAGGCCGACGCGTCTGGACGGAGGCTGGCACAAACGTCCCCTTTGTCCCGGCTCTCATCGGCCTCGACCTTCTTCGAGCCCTTGCTATTTCGGACGCTTCCCTTCGCCTCGATCATGCGCATGGGTCAAGGCGATCCGTGGCTCTGATGCAACCGGCTGTGCCGATTCTGGTGCTGTTGCTCTGCTCGAACTGGACGAGTCGGTAGGTATGGATTGTTGTACATTGAAAAGCGAAGCAGATGGGTCAGATGCCACAGCGCAGAGCAGGTCCCAAGAGACCGCTCTCAGTGGGCCTCGACTGCTTCGGCGCCGACCGCGGTGGCAGCCTTGGACTTTTGTCGTCTCCGCCTGTTGGCCGGTTTCGCCTTGTCGCCTGCATCCGCGGCCGCATCTGTGCCCTTCCCTGCGACCGCAACGTCTGACTTGGATCCCTTGCCTTCCTCGCCGGCGTCGTTCCTCTTCCTCTTCGCCCCGATCGAAGCTTGCTGCGCATTCGCATTCGGACTCGCCCCGTCCCCTCCCTGATCGCCCTTTGCCTGCTCCGCCTCTCTCTGTGCGCGCAACCGCTCGGCCGCCTTTTCCTTTTGCTTCTGCTTCTTGAGCTCCTGCTCCCTCGCCAGCTTTTCCTCTGGCGTCAACTTCTCCCGCTTGGCCTTTTTGACGCTGAGCGGGTTCGGTGCCTTGGGCCCCTTGCGTTTCTTCTGCGGAGGTTCCGACGACTCGCCAGGCGACGTCGTGTCGGCGCCGATGATGTTGGTCGCGGGTGTCGCGGACGGATCGCTCGGAGGTGCGTGGCCGGAAAGCTTGACATCCTCGATCTGATCCGCGCAGGAAGCACAAAGCGGGCAGTTGCGTCAGAGCAGAACATATCAAGAGCAACCTCGTCGCCGATGCGACTGCCGCAACTCACCTGTTCGACCTTGGATCTGGAAAGGTTCGACATGGGTTCGAGGACCATGACGGCCTGGGTGAAGTGGACCATGGGCAGGCCTGGCACGTTGTTGCGCAGCTTGGCCCTCAGCGGCTGGTTGTCTGATGCAAGGACGTAACGGTGCTTGTTTGCCTCGCCTGCGAGAGCGGTCGTGGGTAGGAGCGAGCATCAGATCTAAAGTCAGCCTCGGCCTTTCGTCTTTCAATCCATCATCAAGGGCTGGTGAGAACACTCACCGACGACCGACTTGATGCACTCGTGGGGCTCGATGGCCTCCCTGTGGTTGCACTTTCTCCTCTCCCATTCCTTTGCGAGGTTGACGGTGGGTTGGTGCTCTTTGCCGAGCTTGTAGAGGGCGACCATGCAGCACTGGGTGATCATGGGCTTGACCTTGCCGCAGAGGACATTGGCAAACTGCTGCGACGGGTTCTGCGTCTTGAGGCGGACGAGCGACTGCGCAAAAGTCTCGTCGACTTAGGGGATCGAAGAGTGGTGCGGACGTCGCCAGGCAAAGGTCAGCGGGCGGTCCGGCAAGGTCAAAGGGCGCGGAGGTGGGCAGACTTACTGAGCATCTGGTAAGGCTCGCGGAAGCCAAAGTGGAGCTGGAACTGGTGCATCAGCTTGCGGTAGATCTTTGTACGTTTCTGCCTCATGTTGGGCCAAGGTGTACGCTGATGGAGCTACCAAGGGCTGTAGGATGGGATGGACGATGATGGCGAGAAGGTCAGGTCGAAGAGGCGAGGGGCCAAGGCAGGGTGCAGCGTCCAGCTCCAGAGGCCCGCGAGAAAAAGTCAAATTTCGCGCCGCGGAGCGCCCCTCTTGCAGCTGGACCCTCCACCTTGGCCCCGACATGCCGACTCGGCCGGAAAAGCAACAAAAAAGCGCCGATGTCGACACGCATTCCATCTTGCCATCGGGATCGGGTCAGAACAAAGAGACGTGATCGATGCGTGCATGCCCCCCTGCACGAAAAGCTTCGCCCAGCTTCGTTTGGGTGCGAGATCGAGCAGGAAGAATCAAGAATTTCCGCTCGGCGTGGCATCGGGAAACCCGCGGTTGGGGGCCTGGCCACCGCCGCGTTGCTTCCAGTTGCGCCCAGCCAGACCTTTTGCCAAAGGGCTCGAGAGTCGCCTGAAGCCGCTGTGCGTCGCTGAGCGGCGTCGCTGCAGGATGATGAGGGCAGCCGTGGAAGTTGAGAGAAGGCGCGGCGGCGCGGCCCCCCTCGCCTTTGCCTTTGACGCTGGCCGCTTCCGGTCGATTCCTTCGCCTTCTTTGCAGCCAGCGACGCACCGGCCAGCCCGGCCCATGCTGCCCATGCTGCCCACCCGTGCCACACCAACCCCTGGTGCCACCGCCCGGGGCGGATGCTCTGGTCATTTATAAGAACTTCTAGCGACGGCGACGTCCTTTCCTTCTCACACCATCCAAAAGCCACCGAGCACTCTTCACAGTCCCGCACGTCGCACCTCACCAACCGCGCAGCAGCTGTTTCCGAATACCCATCCTCCGCTCGCCACCTTCCGTTCTCTCCCCATCCGCTCCCCCACCACCCCGACACCACACATAGCCATCATGACCAAGGCCGTCGGTATCGATCTCGGCACCACCTACTCGTGCGTCGCCGTCTGGCAGAATGACCGGGTCGAGGTCATTGCCAACGACCAGGGCAACCGCACCACGCCCTCTTACGTCGCCTTCAACGACTCGGAGCGCCTCATCGGTGACGCCGCCAAGAACCAGGTCGCCATGAACCCGCACAACACCGTCTTTGACGCCAAGCGCCTCATCGGCCGCAAGTTCTCCGACTCCGAGGTTCAGTCCGACATGAAGCACTGGCCCTTCCAGGTCATTGACAAGGATGGCAAGCCCAACATCAGCGTCGAGTACAAGGGCGAGAAGAAGACCTTCACTCCCGAGGAGATCTCGTCGATGGTCCTCCTCAAGATGCGCGAGACCGCCGAGGCCTACCTCGGTGGCACCGTCAAGGACGCCGTCGTCACCGTCCCCGCCTACTTCAACGACTCGCAGCGCCAGGCCACCAAGGACGCCGGTATCATCTCGGGCCTCAACGTCATGCGCATCATCAACGAGCCCACCGCTGCCGCCATCGCCTACGGCCTCGACAAGAAGTCCGAGGGTGAGAAGAACGTCCTCATCTTTGACCTGGGCGGCGGTACCTTCGATGTCTCGCTCCTGACCATTGAGGAGGGCATCTTCGAGGTCAAGGCCACCGCCGGTGACACCCACCTTGGTGGTGAGGACTTTGACAACCGCCTCGTCAACCACTTTGTCCAGGAGTTCAAGCGCAAGAACAAGAAGGACCTCACCTCCAACGCCCGCGCCCTCCGCCGTCTCCGTACCGCCTGCGAGCGCGCTAAGCGCACCCTCTCGTCGGCCGCCCAGACCACCATCGAGATCGACTCGCTCTTTGAGGGCATCGACTTCTACACGTCCATCACCCGCGCCCGCTTCGAGGAGCTCTGCGGCGACCTCTTCTCGCACACCATCGAGCCCGTCGAGAAGGTCCTCCGCGACTCCAAGATCGACAAGGGCTCCGTCAACGAGATCGTCCTCGTCGGCGGCTCCACCCGTATCCCCAAGGTCCAGAAGCTCCTCCGCGACTTCTTCAACGGCCGCGAGCCCAACAAGAGCATCAACCCCGACGAGGCCGTCGCCTACGGCGCCGCCGTCCAGGCCGCCATCCTGTCCGGCGACACCTCGGAGAAGACGCAGGACCTCCTCCTCCTCGACGTCGCCCCGCTCTCGATGGGTATCGAGACCGCCGGCGGTGTCTTCACCCCGCTCATCAAGAGGAACACGACCGTCCCCACCAAGAAGTCGGAGATCTTCTCGACCTACGCCGACAACCAGCCCGGCGTCCTGATCCAGGTCTTTGAGGGCGAGCGCGCACGCACCAAGGACAACAACCTCCTCGGCAAGTTCGAGCTCTCGGGCATCCCCCCCGCCCCCCGCGGCGTCCCCCAGATCGAGGTCACCTTCGACGTCGACGCCAATGCCATCCTCAACGTCTCCGCCGCCGACAAGACCACCGGCAAGTCCGAGAAGATCACCATCACCAACGACAAGGGCCGCCTCTCCAAGGAGGACATCGAGCGCATGGTGAGTTCACTTTGCCCATACACCGGACCGGACCTTTTTCGTGCCCGGACGAGCTTGCTGACACTTTCCCCTGCCTTTTCTTCATTTCTACCTCGTCGGACGGTGACTTTGACCGGCTCGCCAGGTTGGGGAGGCCGAGCGCTTCAAGGAAGAGGACGAGGCCGCCTTGGCCCGAACACAAGCCAAGAACGGGCTCGAGTCGTACGTCTACAATGTGCGCAACTCGATCAACGAGCCGGGTCTCAAGGACAAGTTCGAGGCGTCGGACAAGGAGCTCCTCGAGAAGACGGTGTCGGAGGCGATCTCGTGGCTCGACGGAGCTCAGGAGGGATCGAAGGAGGAGTACGAAGAGAAGCAGAAGGAGGTCGAGGGCATCGTCAACCCGATCATGCAGAAGGTCTACGGCGCTGCTGGCGGTGCCCCCGGCGGCATGCCCGGCGGTGCTCCCGGCGGTGCTGCCCCCGGCGGCGACGACGGCCCCTCGGTCGAGGAGGTCGACTAATCGCCTTCGTCCCCTCGCCGAAGAATCATACCCTCTCGCTGCATTCCGTTCCCGCACAGCCGCAGTCCCCGTCTTGATGTAATCATAGGTTCTCTGAACACGCAACCAAGGTTCATTGCTCCGTCTATTCTTTCTGCTGCCGCGTCGTGTGTTTTCTTTCCAGATGGCCCAGCTCGAACGGCTCTCGAGGTGATGTCGGCAGACTCACGACATCACCTTCGAGAGCCGAAGACTCGCCTAGAAGACGGTGAGAGGCAAAGACGAACAAAAGGCCGGCCGGGTCGCACGAAGATCAGATGAAGAAAGCGCGTTGCGCTCGCCTCGCACATGTCTTCGTTGTCCATCGCCGACACCCTCGGCAATGCCCAGCGTGAAGACCTGTCGCCCGCTGGCCTTGTCAAGGTAGCATGCTACCCGGCGAGACTCGCACGGTCGCTCCTTCTCTCTAGGTCCGACAACCGCCGTGTGGTCGGGGTGCAAGGCGGACGACTTGATGGAGCATGGCATTCCAGGCACGCGTGCGGCCCGTCCTTCGACCCAGGCAGCGCAGCACCTCGACGCTTGGCGCGCGTCCCACGAGGAGGCCATCTGGACAGCGCCTGACTCTCTCGTTTCACTCGACGAGCCAGACGACCAAGAGAAGACGATGTGCTACGGTCACGGTGCCGCACGACTAGGTTCCAGCACTCCGTTTCTGCCTGCTGCCCGACAAGCGCGACCCGGAGACCGTCTAGATCAAGGGGGCGGCGGCGAAGTTTCTGCAGGGTTGACTGCGCCCTCTGCGACGGCCCGGAAGGCGACTGTGAAGAGCAGCTCGCCATCCGTGCGAAGCCGCTGTCCGTTGACGTTGATGTCGGGCCTGGGAGACGCAGACGAGCAAGTGCCACACGACTCGCCCATCACCTCGTCGAGGCGTGGGCAGGCGCGCAGTTGTCGGCCTCGAGACTGGAGTTGAGCAGCCTTGGTCGGTTGCAAGGCTTAGCTTGTGGTACGAGTGGGTGATCTCACTGCAGTCAGCCAGTCCCTGTACAAGCGACTGACAACAGGCCGTTGAAGCAGAGCTTGTCCTCGACAAGGCTCGACACCTTGACGCGTTCTGTTGCAACAAGACGCTGCTGCTGCAGTCCTGTCAAGAATTGTCGTCCTTGTTCGGCTTGCTGCAGCCGCCGCTGACAGGGCGCCGAGTTCTCTCAAGAGATGCTTGGTGTGAGCTTGTGGTCATACTGCTCCTGCCTCACTGCTCTCTACAGCCCAAAGAAAGCCTGTTGCTGCAACAAGGGATACAATGCTTCTGCAACTTGCTGTTGACTGGTCACAGTCCAGTGTCTGTGTGTCAGTCGACAAAAGCGACACATATGGGCTAGGGATCTCGGTGGCGAGCGAGGCACGGCCGGGAAGGGAAGAGGGGGGGCAACGAAGAAATGGCTCACTCGCGCTCTTTTCCGCGCCTGTCCGCGTGGCTGGCCTCCACAATTTTGATGGCCGCCGGAGGAGGCAAGCCGCCCGCGGGCCGAGGCGTCACAGAGAGTCGGCAAAGCCCCGCCAGCCAAAGGCAGCCAGGCCAAGCCAAAGAACGTCGACCGGCCGGCCTTTCCGACTGCGCCCGTTCCGTCGCTCCTCTCTCACTCTCTCTCTCTCTCTCTCTCTCTCTCTCTCTCTCTCCTCTCTCTCTCTCTATGCTTCCTCGCCACCACCGACCACTCGTCTCGTCGTCGTCACCACCGCCTTGCTCCGATTACCAGGCCGCTGTTTGCTCTTTGCCCCGTCTGCATCGCTACCTGCCCGCTACATAAGCCCACGTAGCGCTGCGCTCCGCCCTCCCTCTGACCACGCCCCGCGACGCAACCCCCCACGCCGCTTGGACCATCCTCGTCGCCGGCATGCCTTCGGGCCAAACAGGCGCGGGCGCCTCGGACCAGCCCAGGGCCAGCAACGAGTCCCGCTGGAAGGTATGGGGCCGCACCGCCTTTGACAAGAGCATCGTCATCTCGGACTGGGCCGCCGGCTATGCCAATGCCGGATCCGCCAGTGAGTACCCAGGCAGGCACCGCTTGCGAGAGCCCAGGCAGCGACACCCACGCCATCGCCGCTGACCTTGGACGAGCGAGCACTCCGGCAGAGCTCGGAGGCGAGCGTTTCTTCCCCAAGAGCAACGACTTTCCCGAAGAGGTCGACAAGTGCGAGCGCATCCTCCGTGCCTTTACCGTCGAGGGCGTCGCCGCCGAAGTCAAGGAGGTCGACGTGCCCGACGGCAAGGGCTCGTTTATGAAAAAGCAGCGCAAGGTGCTGCGCAAGATCCCGCCCAAGCTCATAAAGCAGGCGCGCGGCATCATCATCTACACCAGCATGAGGTCCGGCATCGCACCCCTCGGCGGCTCCGGCGGCGTGGGCCTCATGATGGCCCGCCTGCCAGACGGAAGCTGGTCGGCGCCCTCGTCGATCACGCCAAACAACTTTGCCGTGGGCCTGCTGCTGGGCTTCGACATCTTTGATGTGAGCTAGGCAGCGTGGCAGTCGCGGCCCTGGCTTTCTCCACCGACTCGGGCTAACACGGACCCGCTCCTCCCCTTGTCTCTGCTGCAGGCCATTCTCCTTGTCAACACCGACACGGCCATGGAGAAATTCAAGGGCCACAAGGTGACGCTGGGCGCCGAGACCGCCGTCGCTGCTGGGCCCTTCGGCGCCGGCATCTCGGGCGAGATGGGCCTGGACAAGACGCCAGTCTACAGCTATGTCCGCAGCCGCGGTCTGTACGGCGGTGTCGAGGCCATAGCCCAGGCCTTCCTGCACCGCTTCGACGAAAACGAGCGCGTCTACTACTGGCCGGGCGTCACGGCGTCCGACATCTTCGAGGGCAAGGTACGCCTGCCGCCGCAAGTCGAGCCCCTCCATCGTGCGCTCCGCGACGCCGAGCTCGGCATCGCCCAGGGCGATTCTCTGGACAAGACCATCTACGAAAATGTCCTTGCCCCGCCCAACCGGGCCGTCAGCGTGCTCCAGCAGGACGAAGCCAGCGAGATGCTGCAGGACGGCGAGCGCCTCAAGCTGCCACCGACGCCCGAGGAGCTCGACGCGATGGAAGAGGCCGGCATCCCGGACGAGTACGACCTCGAGCTGGAGCGCCAGGCGCTTCAGGAGAGGCTAGAGGCCGAGAAGCGCGAGCGCGAAGAGATCCGCAACCTGCCGCCGCCGCCCAAGCACCCCGACGTGGTCAAGTACTGGGCCAACCGACCGCGGCCGGGGGCCAACAGACGTGTGCCACCGCCCTTGAGCCCCGCAGGCAACTCCCTCAGCTCGAGCCGCGTGGCGAGCCCTTCGCCTCTTCGCAAAGAGGCTGCGGCCGCTGCCGATTCCGGAGACGTCGCCATGGACACCGCGGCTGCAGAGGCTGCCTCGGCGAGCGAGCGAGCCGTCGATGACAAGGTCCAGGAGGTCGAGCAGGACATATCGCAAAAGGGTAGCTCCGGCCTAGACGAGCTACCCATTGATAGCGAGGCTCCACCGGTCTACGAAGAGGACGCCGAGAAGATCGTTGCGTCGGACGACAAGAAAGACATAGAGCACGTTACTGCCGACACCTCGAGAGACTCCGGCCATGCCTCGATGGCCGCCGCCGACACCGCCGCTGAGCCTCTCGCAAACGGCGGTCTCGTAGCCGAACACAGCGACAAACCAGATGGAGAAGACGTTCCACACCAGGAGGGTGGTGCGCAGAAGACGAGCGACGACACGAACGGCCAAGAGGCAGCCGCCGAACTCACGAAGCAGGCTCCGGAGACGCATGCTGTCCTCAACGAAGCGGGCATCGAGAGCGAGGCAGAGACCGACGACTTTGAAGATGCCTTGACGGCATCCGAGAGCGCGCCCGTCCAGCTAGGCCACGTTGCAAGCGAACGCGCCACGGATCTCGCCGAAATCCCTCCCACACCCAAGATCGCCGAGCCGTCGTCGCCGGCGCCTGCATCGCCCCGACCCTTGTCACCTCGACCAGAGTCGGCGCGCAGCGTGGAGGCCGCCAGCTCGGTCGGCTCGCACGGCGCCTCGGAAGGTACTGCCGCGGGTGAAGGGTCCCAGAAACCGGCGCGCCCTGTGCGGCCGCCGCGGGCTCGCGCTCGGCCCGTGAGCACTCTGGTCACCGAGGTGCCAGACCGTTCGGCCAATGGCTCTCCCGGTCTCCTCTCTCCCCACGGGGCGCTGGACACCACGCCAACGACGGCGATTGCCGAGGAGCAGTCCAAAGCGCCGCGCATGATGGTCTTCCTCGACTGGGACGAGACCATCACGGCGCAGGACACGCTATCGCTCATCGCCCCTCCTGCGGGGACGCAGCAAGACGGCGAGGACTTTGCGCACTACACCGAGGCCTACATGACCGACCTCTCTTCGCACGAGCAGACGTTTGGCGAGCGGGACACGCTAGAGAAGCAGACGGCCTACCTCGAGAGCATCGACGAGGTTGAAAAGACGAGCGTCAATCGCGTAGAGCAGGGCGGTCTGTTTGTCGGCGTCAAGATGGCCGACATCCAGCGACGCGCCGAGACGGTCTCGTTCCGGGATGGGTGGGACGGCGCGCACGAGTGGCTCGAGCAGAAGGCCGAGGAGGGCGACGCCGAGACGGACATCATCAGCGTCGGATGGTCGGCCGAGTTTATCCGCCACGCGCTCGCACACCGCCGCCGCTCGCAGCGGCCGCGCGATTCGGAGCAGGCCAGTCGGGTGCCCAAGATCATCTGCGCCAACGAGATCGAGATGCGGACCGACGAATCCGGCGAGCAGGTGGGCAGCGGCCGGCTCACCAAGAGCAAAGAGGCGCTCGACCTGGCCACCGACGACGGCGAGTCGTCTCGGTCGGGCATCCGGACGGGCGTCCACAAGCTCAACGAGCTCAAGCGCCTTCGTTCCCGCTCCGCCCCTTCGTCTTCGTCGTCGTTCAAGGCGCCCGTCACGGTGTACGTCGGCGATTCGAACACGGACCTGCCGTGCCTCCTCGAGGCTCGATACGGCCTCCTCATGGGTGGCAACGAGAGCCTCAAGGCCACAATCGCCAGAGTGGGGCTGCAAGAGAAGCTGCAGGACGCCGAGGAGTGGCTCAAGATCCAAGAAGGCGAGGACGGGGGAAAGGACACGGACACGGGAGACACAGAAACGGACACGGACATGCAAAACACCCTGATCGCCGTGCGGGACTGGGACGAGGCTGTCAAGGTCCTCGAACGCATCCTGGCGCGTCACTCGGCGCAGACTGACAATGTAGCATAGCTAGACGCCCTTTCCGCCGTCCCTTTCACGATGCGATGCGATGCCGAAATGCCATGGACGAGATGTACGCAGCGACGTCGGAGGAAGATGCCGATGGTGTCGCTGCCGTGCGCGAGCCGCGGGGTCGGGCGATCTGATGCCTCTTGTCCGGGCTAGCATCTGAGATCACCAGCTCGTGACGCTCCTCGTGGCGCACACGGCTACGAAAGCGCAGCCAGACAGACACGGGAAGTGAAGCCAAATCGCCTTTGCATTCGTGGCAGCTCTCGGTTCGTCGGCGGGCGGGCGACCGGGTCTAGAGGTCGCCCCTGCGCACAAAGGGCACTCCGAGGCCGCTGAGGAGCTGGCGGGCCTTTTCGGTCGCCTTGCGGCCGCGCTGGTTGGTGATGCAGTCGATCTGAAGGCGGATGAGAGTGTGGCGAGCGGGGGCCGACGACGAGTAACGGGTCAGTGGGGGCATGTCACCGGTCGAGGGTCGCGTGGCGTGGCGCGGCACTCACCTGGAAGCCGAGGCCCCTTCCGGGGTACTGGTCGAGGTTGACTTCGATCTGCGGGAAGAGGGCCATGGCCTCGGGGCGCATGCCGAGGCTGACGACGCCGCTGGTGGCGGCGGGGCTGAGCGAGGGCTGGCTCGAGGGGGGCAGGGGGAAGCCGCCGAAGCTCCTCAAGCGGGGCAGGACAAAGGTGGTGAGGATCTCGAGGAAGTCGTAGGCGACGGGACCGGGCAGCACGGCCTTTACGCCGACGGGCATGCCCGGACGCAGCTTGAACGAGGCGACGCCGGATTTGGCGCGGATGATTTCAATGTGGCCGCGGTTGGCCGGGGTGCTGGAGCCGGGTTTTCCCGCCTGGAGGAGGGCGGGGTCGGCGTTGGATCCGGCGATGCCGAGGCCCGTGATGGCGCGCATCTGGGCGAGGAGGGGCACGAGGGCATGCTTGTTGGCGATGGCCTCCTTGGAGAAGCAGGTGAGGACCACCTTGTCGAGCCGCGGCAGGTCGCGCAGTGTGTGCGTGGCCGACATGGGCTTGGTGAGGGGCTGCAGCCGCCGGTTTCCGCGCGCCGGGCGGACGGAGCGCATCTTGGAGTAGGGGTCGGACGGGTCCCACCGACGCAGCCGGTCGGTTTCCTCTGCCGAGGGGGCGTTGGCGGTCGCGTCGGCGGCGGGCGGGACTATGGAGGGGTGCGAGGAGCCAGATGCGGCGAGCGGCGAGGCGTCCTGCGTCTGGAGCGTGTGGTCGTAGGTCATGTAGAGGAGGTCCGAGGCGAGCGTGTTGCGATAGTGCTCCTGGAGCCGGTTGAGCTGCGTGGGGCCGACGACGACGGGGTAGTGGGGCAGCGCGGTGCGCGAAGGCAGGTTGGGCCTAGCGCCTTGTGCCGTCGTCGCAGCTGCCGGGGCGGAAGACTTGGCCGACGTCGATGCCGCTGCCGTCGTCGCCGTCGTTCTTGGGAGCGCCGTTGTGAGCCCGATGGCGGTGGTGGGTGTCGGGAGGGAGAGGACGGTGCGCGACTGGCGCAGCAGCGAGACGGTGCGGGACGACGAAGCCGCCATGGTGGGCGAATGAGCTGATGAGCGAGGGGTAGCTGTGCGGCGAGGAGGAGGCGCGGTGGAGATGCGGCTGGAGTCGAGGATCAGTAGGGTGGTGATGGTGGCAGGCGGCAGGTGGCAGGTGGCAGTCAGTCGCGGCGGCGGCGGCTGCTTGGCAAAGGGTCGAGTAGGGAGCGTTTCTTCTGAGCGCGCAGCGGAGAGCTCCTCGGCCACCTCAATTTTCTTCGCACCTCGGAATCTTTCGCCCGAGAGAGAGACAGAGAGAGAGAGAGAGGGCAAGGTGGGTGAGCAAGGTCCCACCCGCGCCCGACATCTCCACACGGACGCAGCGAGTAAGAGTGCTCCTGGCCTGGCCTCGCCTGGCCACGCACGGCTTGCCTTGCTCTCCTCCCACCACCCAACCCTGTCCAACCCTTCGCCTTCCCTGCCCCCCCCGCGCACCGCCAGACAACGGCCCGCCTCGCATCCAGCATGGCCAACATCGAGTCCGGCGTCAACGAGCCGTTTGACCTCATCCGTCTCTCGCTCAGCGAGCGCGTCTACGTCAAGCTGCGCGGCGACCGAGAACTCAGGGGCACCCTCCATGTGAGTCGCCCGTTGCCCTCGCCCTCGTCGTTGTCCTCCACCCTTGGCCCGCATACCTACGCTGTACTCACGCCGTGGACGGTGCTCTCGGACCCCTTTGCACTCCGACCCCGTCCGCTCGCCAGGCATACGACGGCCACATGAATTTGATCATGGGCGATGTCGAGGAGACCATCTACGTCGTCGACGTCGCAGAAGAGACGTCGCAGGAGACGGTCAGGGTGAGCGCCGGCTCAGCTTCCCACACCTCACTCTCTCGTACCCAAGCTGATCGCCCTCGTTGCCGCCACGACCGCCGCTAACGTATCCCGCGCTTCCGCCTCGCACCCCCGGCCCCCTTGCAGATCGTCAAGCGCAACAGCGAGATGCTCTTCGTCCGCGGCGACAGCGTCATCCTCGTACGTATCCTCCCGCCTCCCCTCGCTCTGCTTGCCCCATGCGTCACCTCCTGACACCGGCGCGCCCTCGTCCTTCCGGCTCAATGTCGCAACAGGTCTCTCCGCCCGCCAGAATATAGCCTGCCTCTCGAAAACGGCTTCGGCGATCCCGACATTCTCCACCCTCGCCGCATGTAATACTACCTTGACGCCAACCGGCGGCCAACTTCTGAACAAGCACACGCGCATGCCTCTGCCCGACGACGGCGACGGAGACTGGCTCAGAAACATTCAGGTGCGGTCGACGAATCGGCAGCGCGCCGACCGGCACGGGTTGCTTGCTTGCAAGGGGTCCATTCAGAGGCTAGCTGGTGTCCATGCCGTCCTTGCTCGCGCCCCCGTTGACCTTTGCCCACTCTACAAAGTCGTCGATGACCGATGGCCAGGCAGCTGAGAGCGACGAGGTTGAATGCGAGGCGCCATGTGGAGCGGATGTCAGCGACCCGTCCCGTGCTACGCCGGCGCCCGTACCGCCCTACCGTCGGACTCCACTCACCGTCAAAGTCGTGGTTGCCAAAGTCGCGGTCGATCTCTCTCGTAAAGTCAATGAACTGAGAGCGGGGCCAGAGGGTACGGCATGATCAGCATACGACGGTACGAGGTCCCCGCGACCCGTATCTGGCAGCTGGCGCTCACCTGTGTCCATGTGTCTTTGCTGACCGCACGGCCCCCGGTTTTTTCCGAGAGGAACCTCTTCCAGAGCTCGAGCTGGGCCTGCGTAAACTTGCCGCCGGCTTCGGAGCCCTCGAATGTGGGGGACGCGGGCAGGACGAGGTCCCAAAAGGCCAGGGCCGTCTCGAGCGCTGCAGATAGAAGGGGAGCGGAGTGGGGCTTCAGCGTGGTGTCCGCCTACCGGTATGCAGGCGAGCATAGGCGTCGCGCCGAGGGACTCACGTAGGCTCTTCTGACCCTCGGGACGGGCAAAGGCGTAGGTGTACTCGTAGACCTTTTCGTAGAGGCCCGCGCCGCTCCGCTTGCCCTCGAGCGCGAGCCGCTCGGGCCTGACGGGCGCGTTGCGCCTGAGCTCGTCGCGCAGCTTGTCCAGCGCGGCCTTTTGCTTGTCGAGCGTGTCGGCGTACCCGAGCATCTTCCAGCCCTCGATGTACTCCTTGCGGCCAAAGGAGCCGATGGATTCGGACCGCAGGTAGTACGAGAGCGGGAGGAAGACGACGTCCTCGGGCGAGACCTCGAGGTCCTCGCACATGGCCATGGCGCCCTCGATCGTGATCTTGTCCTCGTCGGCATCTGCGGGTCGGTCGGAATGGGACAGGAAGCGGCACGGACGGAGGGTTGGGCAAGGCTGTGCTCGCTGCTTGGCTGCTTCGACGGCGCGCGGTGCTCACCCTTGTACTTGTCAAACAGCTGCGACAGCCTGTCGGTGGCCTCCTTGTCCGTCTTCTTGTCTACGCCCGCCGACGCTCCAGAGGCCTTTGCCGCATTGGCCATGGCCGTCGCATCGCTGAAAAAGGCGTCGGTCGCCGCTTCGATCCGGTAGGAGCTCGCCTTGAGCAGGCGCTGGGCGTCCTGCTGCGTTGCGTTGGTGATGGCCCGAAACTGCCGGATCAGGGCCTCGCGGTTGCGCGACGAAGAAGACGACTGCGGCCGGGGCAAGGGCCAGAGAAGGAGTGATGAGTGTCGAGTCTTTTTCCGTCCGAGTTGCTCGACGCCGTGCGGAACGCCAGCATCGGGTCTGTGCCTTACCATTGTCGCGAATCGGCGCCCGCCTCGTCGGAGCTACGCAGCCAAGAGCTGAGGGGCGAGTGCAGTTTCTTGGTGGCGGCGGTCAGGATTTGGCAGCGACGAGGAACGCCTATGCTGGGCCGCCGGAGGTTCGTGTGGTGAGCAGGGTGGGGTGCGCGGGCGAGGTGATGTCGGTGAGGCTGATGATGGAGGGTGAAGGGATGAAAGGGAGGCAGAGCGGTGCCCTCCGCCGGACCCATACATACCGCCGCCGCCGCCGCCGCCGCTGCCAGGACAATCCATGTGGAGCAAGCAAGCACAGACCCGGCCGACAGGCCAACCACGTCCCACTGTCCAGCTCAAAAGCGCCTCTCGAAGTGACTTTGCGCTGCTCTAGCATTCCGCCCCACGCAAACAAACGACACGATGCCACAGCTACGAGGATAGGAAAAGAGTCTAGACTGGCACTCCTGCGACAGCCGACGACGCAGGATGCCGCTCAGCACAGAAGTCAACGGTCCACTAGGCCTTGTGAGCCGGAGCGACGGGTGCCAGAGCCTAGACGTCGCCGAGCACGCAGCGCATTGCGCATCAGATCGTCAGCCACCGAGCCCTGCAGAGCACCATCAGCGCTGCTCGCTTGCGCCACTCACCGCCTTGGTTGCTGCAAACACTCGCTCCTTGCTCGCAAAGAGGATGGCGGCGGTCAGGACGCTCTGCAGCAGCTTGCTGCTGATGCCTCGGTAAAGGCCAGCAGGGCTACAGCGCCAGGGCCGCCAGAAACACAAGGATGGCAGAGGCAAGGCTGTCAGCTCGACTACACTCTCTCCGCCTCTGCCAAAGGGGAAGCGACTCCGGCGCCGACCGCAACGCACCCCTCGTTCTTGACAATGTCCATCATCGCCTGCCAGACATTGGCGCTCTTGCCGGCGTTGCCGCTGCTGCTCTGCTGGCGGCTCTTAAGCACAATCTGCGGGTAGGTGATGCTCGTGGCGATCAGCTTGCTCAGCGCGCCCAGCCAGAAAAAGTCCCAGTCGGACAGCGCGACGCTCCCCTTGTTGCCCGCGCGGGCCAGACGAGACTTGACCACCCAGTTCTTGAGTTGCTCAAACGCCGTGTACTGTCGCAGAGGCGCATCCGCGTGGGAAGAGACGTGTCAGCAGGTGGTGCGCGTGCGGGTCTGCATCCTCGGACCCTCGATCCCAGGACCTCGGCCTCACCTGAAGGATCGGGTTGATCACCAGCACGAGCGCCGGGCCGATGCCCCTCCAGAGGGCCAGAAGACCGTCGTCGTTGACGATCTTGGACAGAGTCTGGATGAAGCCGAGACGCTTAACGGGCACCTTAGCGCCAGGCTTGCCGGGAGCACCGGCAACACTCGGGGCGGGGACATCCTTTTCGGAGCCCTTGGTAGTGACGCGCACCGTTTGACGCGTGTTGACGACCCAGATCGGATTGCTGATGAACGCAGTCGCCGTGCCTGCGCGCACGTTGATTGAACGTCCGCGGTCAGCCGGGTCGTTCGTCGTCCCTGAATGAACACGCGCGAGAGCGACGGGGACATACCAGCAATGAGGCCCGTAAGGATGCTCTCCCAAGTGGTCAGGGCGCCGCCCTGCGCAATGGTCGCAGTGACGGACGAGGCGTTGGCGGCCGCCAGCTTCGCCTTGGACTTGAGGATGACGTCGCGGCTCTTCTCGTAGAAGAAGTAGTAGACGCTGTTCGGGCGAGACGGGGAAAGGCGATCAGCCCCGCGCCACACGAACACGACGAGCGGCGAGGCCACGGCTGCCTACAAGTTGGTGATGCCGATGCCGATCAAGCTCGAGTTGAGGCCGGCATAGAGGCCAGTCACGCCCTCGGCCTTGATGATCTTGGCGGCGCTGGCGACGATGGACTGCAAGGATATAAAACAGACGAAGGCCGACATCCCGTCAGGTCACGGTCATACGCGCGCGCGGCTTCTGCTCGCCCGCAGGCAACGCACCTCTTCGGGGTGCTTGCTGGATTCGACAGCAGCGCGGGTCGAGATTCCGACAAGAGGATAGGTGGCCGTCATGGCGATCATGCCACCGGCACCGCCGGCGCAGGCGTGGATGAAGGAGTCGTCGGACATGGCGGGGTCGGTGCGGGTGAGCGGGTGAGAACAACGAGTGTGGGGGCGGTAGTCCAGTCGGTACGGGACGAGATTATCGAGGCAGCAGCTAAGGTCAAAAGGGTACAGCGAGTGGGCAGGACTTCCGCTGATGTCGTGTCGTGTTGTGATCGATCGTCGTCGAGCTGATAGTAGTGGTGGTGGTGGTGGTGACAGTCTTGCCGACGTGTCGGAGGTGGAGCAGAGAGCCGGTGGGGCCGTCGGGCCTGCCCTCGGTAACCGGTCCTCGCCGGGCCGCCCGGCTAGCCCGCGCGTGCGTGAAAGGAATGCGGATTTCCAAGCGGGCCGCCGCTTTCGGAGCGCCTGGTCAAGCGACACGGCCCTCGGCGTGCAGAACGGCGCAGACCCGGGTTCGATTCCCAGATTTGCAGCTCACGTTTCCCCCTTTTCTTCGGGGCGCCTCGCCCTGGCCATCTCCCTCTCCCTCTATCTATGGTGCTGAGTCCGAGGAAAGCTAGCGCTGATGATCGGTATCGGGGACGAGCACAGCCGTCCAGACGTCCATCGATCTCGCCTCTTTGCCCCATGTGTCGCTAGCTTGGCGCAGCGCGTGGCGGGCGGCCCTGACGGCATGCGCCAGGCGGTCGACGCTGGGATCAAGGACGTTGCCCGCGTCAGAGGACGAAGGGTGGTGCTGGGCCAGCGCGTGCGTCTCGACCAGGTCGGCAGCTTCAAAGGCCTGGTGAATCTCCCACGATCCATCCTGGAGCGCGCGGTCAGGCAGCCAGGTCTCTTCGGCCTCGACCTTCCACCCCTCCTGCTCGGCGAGCGCCTTGATGTCCTGCGGGCTCAGCACGTTCTGGATGTTCCCGCCGGGCAGGGGCGCCTGTGCCTGGACGAGAGCTGCGAGGAGGTGTGGGAGGCTCGCTGGGTCCGAGATGGCGAGCGCCCACTCGGCGAGGAGGAGGTGTTGCACCCCCGTCTCGCGCGCCGTCCGGAACACGGCGCGCAGCTCCGAGACAGCAGAGAGGTACCAGATGCTATGTGCCATGACGACCGTCGCGTATCGCTGTTCCGCCATGGCAGAAGGGCCGTCTTGCTGCAGACGGAACTCGAGTCGGTCGCCGAACAGATCGCTCCGCGCGAGGTGGGTTTGCGCCTGCTCCAACGTGAACGGCGAGCCTGCTCCGGAGGGGCAGCAAGCACGACGGGCAATGTTCAGCGGATCGTCGCTGCGAGGCCGACTGCGAGCCACAGGTGACGGCACCACGTCGCTCACCGTACGAAGGCAGACCAGGATCGACGCCGACGACCGTGCTGGACTCGAGCTCCGGTCGGCTGGCCATCACGGCGGCCAAAGCGCCCGTCTGATCGCCCTGTCCGCACCCGAGATCCATCACTCTTCCCTGCAGCCTCTCCCACCCGTCGCCCTTGATGCCGGCTTCAGGATCGTCGCTGCTTTCCCGGTGGGCCTTGCGACCGAGTCGCAGCCACGATTCGATAATGTCGAGGCGATGCTGCGTCTGGATGGCCTGCACGCTGTTGCTCTGGTACGCGTTCCGGCCCGCCTGGAGGTGGTGCGATGCCACCATGGCTGCGTCGGGAAGCGGCGTCATGTCGGTCCGAGGGATTGTAGTGGATGCAGCAGCACAACGAGACCATGAGCGTCGCTTTATACTCGCTGCGCCTCCCTCCGTCGTGAGGATCGCCGTCGAGGAGCATGCCGCAAACGACTCGCCGAGTCACCCAGCTTCGCCTGCTGCCACTTCTTCGGATGCCGTCGCTCCGAAATGCTCGCTGTCATGCGCGGCCGCAGCGGCAGGGCCGCCATCCAGTCGAGTCGAGTCGAATCGAGTCAGGCCAAAGCCACCGCAGCGAGTCACGCGGCTGTCGAGGTGGAGAGAATGGATCCATTGTGTATGTCGCAACGGCCATCTAGACGGTGATGGTGGATAAAAGTACAGTAGTGGTGGCGCCGCAAAAGCGACGTCGTCGCCGTGGGCAGGGATGCATGCTCGGGAATGGGCCGGTCGGAAAGGATGGCCAGGGAAACGTCGTAGGGGAAGTGGATGGAGCGCTGGAGACGATGACGAGACCGCTTGGAACGGCACGGAGCGACGAACGGGCCGGCTACTTCTTGCCCGCGCGCTTCTTGAGCGTGGCCTTCTGGCGCTCCATCTGCTTTTGCTCGCTGCGCTCGTCCTGGAGCGTCGACATGATCTTTTTGATCTTCTTCTGGTAGCTCTGGTCCTCGGCCGCCTGCTCCTTGCGCCTCTCCTCGGCGAGGAACTGGTTGTCCTTGCGCAGCTCGCGGATCGCGCCCTTCTTCTCCTTCTTGATGAGCGCACGCAGCTTGGCCGCCTGGGCACGCTCCGTGTCCGGGTCGTAGCCGCCCTTGCGCTCCGGGTTGAAGCCCTGCTGGTCAAACTTGGGCACGTACGACGCGATCGCGATCGCCCGGTGCGCCTGCAGCCGCAGGTAGCGCCGCGACGAGGCCGACATGCGCACCTGGCGCTCCAGACTCGCCTCGATGGCCCTGAGACGCTCCGCCAGCGACTCGGGCAGCGATGCAGCATCCACGCTGGCCAGCAGGTCGAGCGAGGGCGTAAACAGCTCGACGAACGCCGTGCTGCCGCTGTACAGCTTGGCGAACTCGGCGGTCAGCTCGAGGGCCAGTCGGAGGAGCTGCGCCTTGATCGCGCCGACCTCGAGGCTTGGAGCAGGCGACAGCAGGTCCAAGAGATCTGTGGGTCCGTCGTCGACGGTCGAGGCCTGTGCGCTCTCCTCGGCGGTGAGAGGAAGCGAGGCCGTGTGCGGAGCGCCGAGGTCCGGAGTCGGGATACCGTAGTGCTCTGCGGTCGTCGACACTGTCCGTCGGCCATCCTCGGATCGCGTAGTAAGGAGAGCGATGCAATTGAAGAGGAAGTTGGCGGCCTCGGGGAAGACGCGCTTGCTGTCCTTCTCGTGCGAGGCCACGAGCGAGCACAGGAAGAGTCCGGAGGCCAGGTCGGTGAGCGAGCGGACCCGAGCATGGCCTAGGTACTGGGCGATGAGGAGCGCGAGCGGCGTGGCGACCGGGTGCTGCCTGTCCGACGTCGGCCACACGGTGCCGGCGATCCTGAGCAGCGTCAGCTCCGGCAGCATCGGCCACGTCCTGGCATCGGCCGACACGGCGCCCTTGGCGAGCCCGCGCGACAGGTTCCGCTGCATCAACGCCAGCTTGCCCACAAAGTGCTGCGAAGAGGCCAGGGGGTACGCCTGCGAGAGCGAAAAAATCTGCGGGATGAGCGCATTGACGAGCGCGACGGCGATCTTGTCCTCCTTGTCGGCGCCCGCCACCGCCGCAGAGTGGATGGCGTGGTCGATGAGAACACCGATAAAGGCCTGCAGCTTGTGCTTGTTGTCCTCGTGCAGGCTGGGGTGATAGAGGGTGCGGATCCGCTTGACGACGGTGGGGACAAACTTGGGCTCGATGCGGTGCTCGTCGAGGATGGCGAGGAACTCCGAATGCGAGGACGGGCAGGGAAACGTGTAGGGCAGCTTGCTGGCCTCCTCCTTGGTCATGGCCTGCTTCCTCTTGCTGCCGGTCTTTGCGGCCTTCCTTTCGGCCGCCGACACGCTGCCCGTGAGCGCCTCGTGGTCGCCCTCCTCCTCGGACTCCTCGTCTTCGCCAGCAACGGCGAGACCGTCGACATCCGCAAGGTCTGCAAAGTCGTCTTCGTCTCCCTCTTCGTCGTCGCCCTCGTCTTCCGCGTCTCCTTCCTCATCGCCTTCCTCGTCCTCATCCTGGTCCTCATCGCCCTCGCTCTCCCCGTCGTCCTCATCCTCGTCCTCGTCCTCGCTGCCCTCGGTGCGGAGGCCCTTGCCCAGGCCGTACGCCTCGCCCGCCGTGATGCCGTCAAGCTCAAAGTCGTCGTCGAGGTCATCGGCTCCCGAGGCTCGCGCCTTGGACTTCTTGTCGCCCTTCTTCCTCCGCTTGCCGCGGCCGCCCTCTTCGTCCGAGGAGGCGCCCTCGTCGTCGCTGTCGGCCCGCATCCGCTTGAGGCGGGCCTTTTCCGCCTTCATCAGACGCTTGGCCTCTTCGGCGGCCAGCTCGGCCTCGCTCTTGAGACGGTCCTGGGGCTTGGCTCGCTTCTCAAACGCCAGCTCCTTGACAAAGGCATCGTAGGAGTTCGAGGCGACCTTGGGCTCGATTAGCGGCCGGTTCTCCTCGCCTGCTGCTGTGGCCGTCGGCGCATTGTCGGCAGCTTTGCCCTTGCCCTTGTCGAGCGCCGGGGCCCGAGGAGCTGCGGGCGTTTCGGGAGCAGCGGGTGCCTCGGTGGTCGTTGGCTGAGCAAAGAGGAGGTCGCGGATGCCGCCGAGGTCGTCGTCGAGCTGCATCCGGAGCTCCTCATCCTCGTCGCGGATCTTTTGCCGCTCGAGCTTGTGGAACTTGGACTTGGCCATGACCTCACGCATCACCTCGGCCTTGGTCTTGACGCGGTCCGGATCGTCGTCCTCGCCGTCCTCGTCAAAGCCGCCAAAGTGGTTGGCCCCGTCCATGTTACCTGGGCGTAGCGAGGAAGATCGCAGCGCGAGACGGAATGGAAGGTGGCGGGTTCAGTCAGTACCGAGCATCGACCACGTGCCTCGTTTTGCGACGCGACGCTGCCAGCCAGCAAGACGACCCGAGCAAGCAACGGCGAGCGGCGACCCGCTTGCGCGACAAGGATCAGCAATCTCCAGTGGAATTTTGACCGTCACAGTTTTGGCGCTTGTCAGCGCACTTTTGATTTGTCCGGATCGTTTAGTCGCAAGTAGCGAATCATCATGTCGGAGGAGCGGGGCGGAGCCGGTACCGGAGAGAGCAGCCGACCCACCGCCTCGCTCCGAATGTGCCGGCAATGGGGTCGCGCCGCCGTGTGCTTGGCGTGTCGTCTCTGCTGGCAGCAGCCGCGTCGTCTGTCGTCTGGCGCTGCAACTCACCTTCGTCGTCCTCGTCGGGCAGCCCGATGTCGGCGAGGTCGTCGAAGCCGCTCAGGCTCTGGCCGTAGTGGGTGAGGACCTCGTCGTCGCCGTCGTTGAGGTTGAACATGGCACCCTTGGACGCTCGACGCTGCTTTTCGGCGGTGAATCGCTCGAGCATCCTCTCCTCGGGCGTCATGTTGGCGTCGTTTTCGCCAAAGCGGCGGTCGATGAAGGATCCGCTCTTGTTCCTCGCCTGCCACTCTGGCAGCAGCGACGCCCTGCGCTGCGCGAGGCCGCTCGCCTTTGCGGCCCCGGGCCGGCCGACGGCGCCCTTGACCTTCCTGCCGAGGACCTCATGCTTGGGCTTGGTGACCTTCTCGTCGAAGGGGTTGAGCGAGGAGGTGATGTTGGCGATCTTGTTGCGTCTGGCGGCGGCAGCGTCCTTTTCGTCCTGACCCCCTCGCCTGAGCTTGGACTTTTTCGACTGCTGCCGCCTGTCGCCGACGCCGGCGGCGTGGAGCTTGGACTTGAGCTGCGAGAGCTGCGATCCTCCACCCTTTGCCATGATGGGCCACGTCGAGGTTGCTCGTAGCTGGTGGAGCTAGCGAGAGAAAAAGGTATGAAGTGGGGTATAGAGGATGAGGGCTTGGGAGGAGGCTGGAAGGAAGGGAGCAAAGGAGGACAGGCGGGAAGGCCCTTTTTGCCCACGAAGCCGCTGCCGCCGCAAATTTTTGGGCGCAGTGGCGGGCAGCCAAGGGTCGGAAGACTCCACGGACGGATCCGAAATTTGTGATCGCCCGCGTTGGTGTGAGCGGCCAGGGCGGGCGAGCAGCCACAGACGCCGGGCCCATTCGCCGACAGCACCTCGACCACCTCCCCCGCACCATCACCCATCGTCGCACGCCACCACCAGACCCCTGTACAACATGAGCGGAACAGGTGAGCCACGCCTCAGCGGAGCCGTCGTCTGCACCAATGCTCAGGAGCTGAACGACTGCCTTTCCCATCCTCTGCGACCGTGGCCTCGATGATTTGCAGTGCCCTTCCGACAGTACGTCTTTCGCCTCACTCGACCTCGAGCTCGTCTCGACCCCCGCCCTTGGCACCGCTGCGATGTTCTTGGCTGACCATGCCTTCCTCGACGCCGCTCTTGTGCTCTCCTGCGACGAAATTTACAGGGACCTCCCTCCGCAGGGAGGCTACCAGCCCATCCGATACAAGAGGAACCTTCCCGGCAAGAACCCTAGCGGCATCGCCGTCTTTGGCGCCATGTTTGCCATCTGCGGCTACGGCTTCTACAAGGTCGGACAGGGCAACCTCGAGCAGCGGTGAGCATCGCACTGTCGCTAGACCGCTGAGCGCCATCGGGTGCTTTCCGTGGGACACGGCCGCACCCATTCCGAGGCGCCGGCCTGGAGGACCGCACGCACACCTTGCGCCGGCGCCAGATGCCAGACGCGCACTTGACTTCTGCGCTCTGTGCTGCCGGCTCAGGATCACTCTCAGACCAGCCGCCATCCCTCTCATTCCTCGCCCGTGCAGATCGGCTGACCCGCTCTCGCTCTATCCCCGCCCACGTGTCCGACCGACAGAGAGCTCAAGAGGGAACGCGCCTGGTCCCGCATCCACCTCATCCCCATGCTCATGGCCGAGGCCGACCGCGACGCGTACCGAAGGGAGCAGGCGCAGCTCGCAAGAGAAAAGGAGATCATGAAGGACGTGCCCGACTGGGAGGTGAGTGCAACCCGCTGCGGCCGCCAGGCGTTGCACGACTGCACCGAAGAGAAGAGGAACACCGCTGACCTTGCCTGCCCTCGACACCCGCGTCGTCGTCTCTTTTCCCGCTTTGTCACTCGCAGGCTGGCAAGTCGGTCTACAACACCAAGAGGTACACCGCTCCCAACTTTGTCGTGCTCTAGGCTTCTGCGCCTCGTCTGCGCCGTCAGGCTCGTGGGTGAAGGAGAATTGCGACCGATCCCTTGCACCAGCTTGCCGTCCGTGCCGCGATGAGACTGCGTTGGTGGGGCTGACGTTTGCGTAATTGGCGTCGAGCTGTTGCGGCGCCACGGCGGAGCGGTGCCTTGGGAAAGCGCAGTCAAGCGTTGGCTTTCTGGACATGCGAGTCGATGAAGGCCGCAATCTCCGCCCGCGAGTATCCTTCGGGGTGCTTGGGCATCATCACCTGGCCGTCGGCCTGGAGCAGGTACCAGAAGGGATGGCGGTGCTCGGAGGGCAAGCAGATTGGCACTGTCGACCTTCCCTGCCGCCTCTGTTGCTCGATGTTGCGCCGGATGTGGTGCTCCCACAGGCCGAGCGAGAGCTCTGCTCGGACCATGAGCTCGGACTCGAGACGGATCAGAGCTGCAGCAGGGCAGCCGAGGAAGTCTTCGATCGTCTTTGGCTTGCCGTTCATGGCCCAGGCAGTCATTGAGAGGGACGGCTTGCAGAAGGGCATGAACGGCAGCCAGAACCTTTCCTCGAGCATGTCGAGACCATCGTCCGTATCAAAGGTGCAATCGCGGTAGAAGGCGATGACCTTTTCGAGGCAGCCTACGAGCTTCGGGTCGCTATACGGGCCGTCGTGGCGGCTCCCGAGTATGGCAGCTCGGCTGCCGTGGACCTCGAGAAGGCCGTAGAGCATGAACGTGTCGACGGCGCTGAATTGCGCAGCCTCTGTCAGAGCCTTGAGCTGACTCGTGGCCTTGTCGAGGTTGAAGTGCGGGCAGCCGTCGTCTGAAGGCGTCCCATCCTCTGCGCGCGCGAGGGGACGCGTGACGCCATCTGGATGAGGTGCGCTCATGGCGGTCGCGGCGGCCAGATGGCGAGGAACGAGTCGACGAAGCGAGACCACGACGCGAAAGAAGGGGGATCCGAAAGAAGAGGTGGCAGATGGAGGGAAGACGAGAAGAGGAGAGTGGGCAGGAGGCAAGAGGAGAGCGAGACCGTCGCGACTCCGCCTCTTGTTGGTTGTTCCTTTCGTCCGTAGACTCCTGAGCATGACCTGCTCCGCCACCGGCGCAGACGCATTACAGCGCTACCAGGGCGGCTCGCATCCGTCCAGGTGCAGGTACGGCGTTGTCCGATGCGAACCGTGCCAGCCCACTGCACCGTGCCGAGCATGCTTGGGCGGCGGGAAGAAGCAAGCAAGCAAGCAGCAAGTGATCCGACTAAGGTGGAACGGCTCGGGGCGTAGCCAGAGACTTTCGCTGCGCAGGCCGGCCCTGAGCGCGCTGCTCATGAGCCAGCCGCTTGTGACTCGGCTCGGGTCGACCCAGCTAGAAGGCCTCTGGGGCGTCTGCCCACACACACACTGTCAACGCCCGCCACCGACCGACGGCGGACCTGCCAAGCTGGCAGCGTCCGTGTGCGCCGCGCCCGTGCCCCAAATGATCACTCCGCACAGACGCGGCGGCGCCGGCCCTTGCGTCGCAGCCAGGCAGGGCAGCCGCCCTGGTGCGGCGATGTTCTAGACATGATGTCGTATGGAGAGATAAAAGTACAAGCCGGCCAAAGCGTGTGGCGGGCGATACATGCCGACGCGGGGTACATGGGCAGGAGGCGGAGGAGGAAGGAAGGAAGGAAGGGTGGCTGGAGGAAAGCTTGCGAGAGCAACGGGTGACGACGAGCCGAGGTTGGAAGCGTGGTATAGTAGAGCAGGGTGCGAGGCGACTGAGGCAGCGGGGGGGACGGTGGCCGAGACTACAAGAAGTACTCTGGAGCCGGTCGTTTTGCCGGGACGCCGTGCGCTCTGCAGACAGACAAGGAGGTCGAAACAGAGTCAGCATGCGTTGCTGCTGCAGGTCACGGACGCGACGGTGCCGTGCGATGACAAGACGAGACTCACTCCTGTGCAGCGGCATCAAAGGTCTCGTACTTTTGGTTGAGCGCATCGTCGAGCTTGAGGATGGAGGCGACGTTGCCGCAGCGGTAACAGTAGTTGGGCGCCGACCAGACCGTCACAATCGTCTGGTCGAACATCAGCTTGTAGCCTTCCAGGACGAGCTGGTGCGCCCGGGCGACCAGGTCGAGGTCGTTGGTGTGCGCAAACTTGGCCACCACATCGCTTCCAAACAGGTAGCCGGCTCCTCTGGGCGACATACCCCATCCGGTGATGTCTGGTGGCAGCGCCGGCGCAAAAGAGGGGCAGGACGAGGCCGAGGCGGTCAGATCATCGGTGTCGAGGAGAGGCCGGCATCCAGCGGACCGAAGGGCCCTCCGCCCGCCACTCACCATCCGGATCGGACCAGAGCAGATCGCACATGGCGCCGTCGTGAGGCACCTCTTGCTTCCTGTCGATGGCCCTGATCTCATCGAGCGACTCGATGTTGGGGCTGAGCCCTCCGTGGACGCAAAAGACTCGGCCATCGACGACGGCGCCCAGGGCAAGGTAGTCGAACACCTCGCAGCAGTAGCGCCACACGTTGACGCTGCCGTACTTTCTCGCGCACTCGTCGTAGAAGCCATAGACCTGGGTGATCTGCCGCGACTCGTGATTGCCGCGGATCAGCGTGATTCGATCCGGGTAGCGCACCTTGAGGGCAAGCAGCAGCAGGAAGGTCTCGACCGAGTAGAAGCCGCGATCGACAAAGTCGCCTGAGTTGCCGTGGAACGAACCAAAGAGAGCAAGGGTAGGCAAAGACAGAGCGAGGGAATCGTGTCAGCGCTGCCGTCGCGCTCCCGTCGAGGATGAAGGGGCGACCCGGCTCGGCTCACCCATAAAGAGGTAGTTTGTCTCTGGACACATCCCGCCGTGTTTGAAGAGCTCCATGAGGTCAAAGAACTGGCCATGTATGTCACCGCAGATGGTGACGGGCGCATCGACGTGCTGGACGTTGCCCTCCTCGATGAGAATCTCTCTCGCCTTGAGGCAGAGCTCCTTGACCTGGGACTCGGACAGAGGCTGGCATCGCTTGAGCTGTTCTATTTGGCGGTCGAGGTCGCTGACCATGGTGCGTGCAGGAGAGCAAAGGGCGGAGATGGCCAAGGGGCCGTCCGGACGTGCGCGCTAGGACGCACGGGCAGCTGGAGGCTCGGAGCGCGAGGCCGGAATGTGCAGAGGTGCGCGCGGTGCGGGTCCGAAGACGATAAGGTGTGGCGACTGGCCGAGCGACGGAGAGAGACGTCCGAGCGATAGCTCGCTATGATATCGTTGACAGTGTTTCTGACGAGATCGTGGAGCGAAGAGATCGAGAGGCAAGAGCCAGGAGGGTCTGGACCGTTGGAGGTGCGGACCTTTTGGCGGTGGATGGCCAGAGTCGGTGGCCTATCAGAGGAACGGGGCGAGCAGGACTGGCGTCGTTGGAAGCAGAGATGCGCTAGGATGTGACGGCGACGTCCAGTGCGAGTTCAAGAGAGGAGCGGAGGAAGGTGCGTGATGAGATGGCAGGGAGTCAGGGTAAGGCGTGATGGTGGTCGAGGGCTGACGTCCGATGACAGCAACGGCGGGTGGCGGCGAGGCTACCCTTGCCTGCCTCCCCGGGGCTGCAGGCGGTCGCGTGTGGAGCCCGGGATCCGGGCCAGCCCAGCCCAGCCAGCCCAGCCCAGCCCAGCCCAGCCCAGCAACGGCCAGCCCAGGGTCAGGCGGGGAAAGGTGTCCTGGCTGGAAAGTTTTTCTGGCCTGCCTGCCCTAGCCACCGACCGCCCAAACGCGAACTCACTCTCAGGCCAGATCGGGGCATCAGCCACCAGCTCATCGGACACGCATCTCACCCGATGCAGATCTCGACGGCGTAGGAAGATGCCGGCCGGCGTCGTACAAGCCCTGTCCCACCAACGACGGGCGGATCGCCGAGTCACTCGGCGTTTCCCCGGCCAGCGATGGGGCTCTCGCTTCGGCCAGGCCGCCTGGCCTGTCTGACCACGCAGAGAGAGGCAGCTCGCGTGGCGCTTCATTGATGGATCTCGTCGACCCACCACCACATCTTCCACTCCCTTCCGAACCCCTATCGCGACCGACTTCCTTCCACCCGCTGTCCGCCGCCAACGATGCTCGCCACCTCGAGGACCCGCTTCGCCGCTCGCGCCCTCAGGCAGGCGTGCGCAGACGCCCATGCCTCCGCCGCCCCGTTCAGCGTCGCAAAGAGGCTCCTCACCGTTCCCGCCACATCGCTCCGACGCCCCGTCGCCGCTTCGCCCTCCTACACGCACCGGTACGAAAAGACGACGCAGGTCAGAAACTACGCTGCACCCTCCCGCAGCGACGCCTACGCCACCCTCACCCCGGCCGACGTCGAGGCATTTGCCAAGATTGTCTCGTCGCCCTCGTCGATCCTCACCACCGTCTCGCCCGACGCCTCGTCGTCGTCGTCGTCGTCGTCGTCGTCGTCGTCGGCCGCGTCCTACCAGACCGTCGACTCGTCTGAGCTCGATATGTACAACAACGACTGGATGAACAAGTACCACGGCAAGAGCCAGCTCGTGCTCAAGCCAAAGACGACCGACGAGGTCTCTAGGATCATGAAGCACTGCTACGAGCGCAACCTCGCCGTCGTGCCCCAGGGCGGCAACACGGGCCTCGTCGGCGGAGGCGTGCCCGTCTTTGACGAGGTCGTCGTCAACCTCGGCGGCCTCAACCGGATCCGCAGCTTCGACGAAATCTCGGGCACCCTCGTCTGCGACGCCGGCTGCATCCTCGAGGCGCTCGACAACCACATCGCCGAGAAGGGGTACATGATGCCGCTCGACCTCGGCGCCAAGGGCTCGTGCCACATTGGCGGCAACGTCGCCACCAACGCCGGCGGTCTCCGCTTCCTCCGGTACGGCTCGCTCCACGGCAACGTGCTGGGTCTCGAGGTGGTGCTCCCCGACGGCACCGTCCTCGAGGGCCTCTCGACGCTGCGCAAGGACAACACGGGCTTCGACCTCAAGCAGCTCTTCATCGGCTCCGAGGGCACCATTGGCCTTATCACGGGCGTGTCGATTGTGACGCCGCGGAGACCCTCGGCGATGAACGTGGCCGTGTTTGCGCTCGACTCGTACGAGGACGTGCAGAAGACGTTTTCGCAGGTCAAGAAGCACTGCGGCGAGATCCTGTCGGCGTTTGAGTTTTTCGACCAGCAGTCGTTTGAGGTGGTGCAGGGCCACGCCACCGCAGGCGTGCGCGACCCGTTTGAGGCGAGGCATCCCTTCTACGTCCTCATCGAGACGAGCGGCAGCAACAAGGACCACGACGACGAGGTGAGGATCCCGGTGGCACCCGTGGTCGAGCCCGCGCACGCGCACGTTCACATCGGCTGACATGAACCTCTGCCCCCGCTGCGGCGACACCCGCCCCCCCCTTGACTGACCGCAGAAACTGCAAGTGCTGCTCGAGGACCTGCTCGAGAGCGGGTTGATCTCGGACGGGGTGCTGGCGCAGGACGAGACGCAGCTGCAGTCGCTGTGGGCGCTGCGCGAGTCGATCCCGGAGGCGGCGGGCAAGATGGGCAAGGTGTTCAAGTACGACCTGAGCATGCCGGTGGACAAGATGTACGACCTGGTGCTCGACATGCGCAAGCGGATCGACGAGCAGGGGGCGCTGGGCGCCGACAAGGCCGTCGAGGCCGTCTGCGGCTACGGCCACATTGGCGATGGCAACCTGCACATCAACATTGTGGCCAAGGACTACGACGCGGCGACCGAGGCCATCATTGAGCCGTACATCTACGAGTGGACGTCCAAGGTCAAGGGCTCGATTTCGGCCGAGCACGGCCTGGGCCTGATGAAGGCGCAGAAGATTGGCTACTCGAAGGACGCCACGTCGATCGAGTACATGAAGCGGATCAAGGACCTGTTTGACCCCAAGAAGATCCTCAACCCGTACAAGTACATCCAGGTGTAGATGCCGGGCCGCCGTGGATGAATGCATTGCTTGTCGTTGTCGTCTTTGCGGGTGAGATGTGTGACCGGGGAGAAGAGGGGGCAGAGTAGAAGGCAGGCAGGGGTGTAGCCCAGCCTCGGCGACGGCAAGGCTGCTTGCTGTTGGTGGCGCTGCCCAGCGTGTCCGTCTGCGCCCCCCCTCCCCCGACTTCCGGCGGTGGGCCTCCACACGGTCCCCTTGTCGGCTTGGCCCTTTTCCCTCGTCTTCGTTGCTTCTTCGTTTTGGGCCGCGCCGCGCCGCGCTGCGCTGCGCACTTGCCACCCTCCGACCCGCCCGCCTGTCCTCCCAACACCGTCTTACTCAGCCGCCACGACCGCCTCCCCCCTTTGCTCGCCCCTCGTCCTCGCCACCATCACCATCTTCCTGAAGCGAGCCAACGCACTCCTCGACCCTTCACCCTCCCCGCCCCGCAGTCGTGCACGCATCCATGTCGTGGTACTCGCCCAACATGGCCGCAGCGGCGTCGTCGTCCCGCTCCCACCCAGGACCCGCCACGGCGCCATCGCCTTCCGACCTGTCCAGCGGCGGTCAAATCCCGCTAGGCTCGGCAGCACTCGATGTGCCCCCGACGCCGACCAACGTCAAGAACCTCACGCCCAACACGTGCCTCGCAATCGTCGAGTTCAAAGGTGCGCCCCTCCCGGCACCTTGGCACGCAGCAGCGAGCGACCCGGCTAACATTTGCCGGCCATCTCGCCCTCCCCACGACCACCCCTCCCTCCCTTCTCGACCCACCTCTAGATCTTCTCAGACAGCATCGACAGGTAGACGATACGATCACGACGCGGCTCAACCGGCATCTGGCGCGCTCGCGGGATCAGGGGTACCTCTCTTCCCCCTCGCTCCTCTCGTCGTCGTCGCCCCTCTCGGCGTCCAACGCCGCCGACTTGGGCCAGAGCACGTACTCGACCGTGCCCGAGCAGGCGTGCGCCCAGTTCTGGAAGGAGCTCCTCGACGTCTGGAAGGGGAGGGAGGACGTAGTCCGGTACTGCATCGGCGTGGCCGACCAGGCCCGAGGCCCCAGACCCTCGGGAACCGAAAGCAAGCTCGATGCCGACTACACGCCGACGCCGACGCAGGCGAGGTGGGGGAGGGGAGAGGATCAGAGCGAGTTCTTGGTAGGTCAATGGCCCGTTGCAGGGCCCCGATGCTGCCTTGCCGACCGGTGGTCCGAGAGCTGACGGTCGACGCTCCCCTCTTGCGCCACCCCCCCTCCCTCGCCCGCCGACAGACGAGACAGATGCGCAACGAGTTGGCCGTAGAATCCATCATCCGCAAGCGATCCCTCGAAGGTGAGACGGCGCTCCCCCCTCCCTCGTCTTTGCCCTCCTCGACTAGACCCTCACTCAAAACCCCGCATCGAACCTAACCCCCCCCCCCCCCCACGTCAGCCTTCAAGTCCCGCTGTCGCTTTTTCCAGCCCTCGCCGCCTCCCGGTCCAGAGGGCGACAGGGAACGCGCAATGTGGCTCGGCCGCGACACGCCCGCTGCCGTCGCGAGCGCAGCGGGCGTCTCGAGACCTTGATCGAGGTCCCGTCCTCCACTTCTCCCCTCGAAGGAAGGCCTATAGAGCACTTGACAGGCGCCCGAGAGGCACAGAGACGGCTCCGACACGGAACGCACCCGGCATTACACGATACAGCAGCCGCACTTGCAGAACCCCACTCCTTTCCTCGATCCGTCAGACGGCCAACTCGCTAGCCGCCAGCATCTCTTTCCGGCAGGCGGGACAGCCCTTGCGCAGGAGGACGCGCAGCCGGCTCTCGTACCTCAGTCTCTCCTCAAACGCGCGCTGGCGTTCCTCGGCCCTCAGCTGCGGCCCGTACCCGAGCAGCTCGACGGGCGAGATGGCGTCGACGGTCGAGGCGGCGCGCGAGTCGAGGTGGCTCCACCGCTTGCGCACATTGGGGCTGGCGGCGAACGCCTGCGTCGAGGTGGCCTTGAGGTCGAGCGGGACGCTGCGCTCCTTGATCGTCGGGATGTTGGCGGGCGGCACCAGGCAGTGCAGGTGGTGCGCGTGGCCGCACAGGTAGATGATCGTCTTGCTCTGCGGCGACGCGCCGGCTGCTGCTGCTGGCGCGGGTGCGCGTACGGACGCAGCGAGGCCGTTGACGATGGATGCCGGCTTGGGCAGCAGGGGAAGCTTGCAGGTGACGCAACGTGTGTCGCCTGCAAATCGTCGGCCGTGGAGTCGGAGGTGCAGCGAGATGATGAGCACGAGGTCAGCATCCCTGCACGCGGCGCATCCGCTCTTCTCGGACCGGCATGAGCGGCGACTCACCGTCGCAGTATTGCGCGTACTCCTGTCCGCGCTGCAGCTCGTTCGAGAGCAGGCGGTTGTCGTGGCTGAGGATCGCGTCGCATCCCTCGAGGAGCGAAATCTGCAGCCAGGCGGCGAGGTGTGCAAGGCATGGGTGGCTTTGTCAGTCGGAACAATGCGTCTTAATCAAGCTACTTCGTTCGCCCAAGGCCGGAGACGGCTCACCTGGAGGCTGAAGTCATGCAGGATCTTGATCAGCGCAGCCTTGAGGCCGGGGATCTCGAGGCCGTTCTTGATGCGTCGAATCAGGCGGATCGGATCAATCTCGGCGCCGACGTTCTCGAGCAGGCCGCGGATGAAGGCTGAATAGGACGCGGCCGGTGACGGGTCGACGAAGCGGTCAGAGTCGGGACCTCTACAGCCCCCTCTCTGCCTTGTTACCGCCACCTTCTGCACTGCAGCGCAGAGCGGACTCACCGGGCTTGGTCTCCGAGTACCGCAGCAGATCCTCCCAGAGGTCGTCGTCGTTCTGCTCCTTTGCAAAGTCGATGGCGCGTTCGACGTCGTTCAGCCTCTCGATGATGAGGCTGAGCGCCCGCTTGTTGTCGCCGACGCGGCCGAGCAGAAAGACCATCTCGGGCACAAAGTCGTGCTCCTTGCAGATGTTAAAGGCGCGCTCGAACGAGTAGAAGCTGCTCATGGCGCGCAGGTAGGCCATCAGCTTGGGGTACTCGTACTCGGCGTACAGCTTCACCTGCAGGTCCGAAAGGCTCGTCACTTGCTGCGGGTCCCGGTCGAACAGGGCGTCGAGGTACATGTAGAGGAACCGAGGCTCGCTCTCGAGCTGCTTGATGACGCGATGGATCTGTTTCCGTGGCAGGGATGGCAGGGGGCAGAAGGGAGACCGTGTACGGGGGCAGCTCATCAGCTCTCTGTGCAATCGGGTCCGTCAGAAGGGCCAGGCTTCGCTGCCACTCACGGGGATCGAGTGCGTGTGGTCGACGAGGAGCTCAATGGCCGCGCCGTGCTTCGATGCCGGCGCGACGCTCCTCTTCTGCTGACCCTGCTCGTCCTTCTCGTTGCGGCTGCGGATGTCCTCCTCGAACTCGATGAGCAGCAGCGCCTGGTCCTGCACCGCCGTGAAGAGGTTGTTGTCACGGATGAGGTCGAACACGTTGGGCCTGCGCAGCCGCAGAAAGTACGGCAGGGCCTTGCTTGGCTGCCGGTTGCGGATAAAGAGCTCGGCCAGGCACTCCATGAGCAGCGTGCTCGACCTTTCACGCGACAGCCGGTCCTCGATGGCGAGCACGACGGCCTGGGTGCTGTAGATCTCGGCGGGCCACTCGCGGATGGTCTCGAGCAGCATCTTGGGATCGTGTTGGAGGAAGTGGGCCAGGATCATGTCGTACACGAGCCCGCTCAGCGTCGGGTCGCTCGTGGGGATAAAGGGGATCGCGGTGCCCAGCCTGCCCTTTTCGACAAAGAGGAAGATCCAGTCCTCCCACGCCTGGACGTTGCGCCCGAGGATCTTGGACGCCACCTTGGCCGCCTGGTCGAAGCGGTCCTCGTCGACGAGCCAGTTGAGGTACTTTTTGCCAATCTCCTCGGCGTCGAAGCCGTTCTCCTTGGCCGCCGTCTTGCCCATGGCCTCGACCTTGACCAGCGCCGCCTCGTACTTTCTCCGGTCGAGCAGCCACTCGACGTGGTCGCGGTCGTCGCGCGGCCTCGACACGACAACATCCTTCGGGCTTATGACGTAGTAGGTGCTGGCCTCTGGGTCGCTCTTGACTCGCTTCTTGGCCATGAGCGCGGCGCTGTAGGCGCGCGCCTCCTCGGACGGCACCAGCAGGTAGTCGTTGCACTGGAAGCGCGAAAAGCCGTTGAGGCTAAGCACGTCGCTGCTGAGCTCCTCGCCGGCTCGGCTGATGATGCGGAGCTCGGGCCGAAGGGCTGCGCCCCGCTTCTGGACGTCGCGATGGTCGCTGAACCCGGATCCGTCGGCACCGTCCTCGTCGTCGGTGATGTAGGCCAGCACGAGGTAGTCGAGGCCGTAGGGCGCGATGCCGCTGATCATGCAGTCCAATTTGAAGATGGCCGAGATCTCGACGTAGAACTGCGGCTGCTGCGAGCCCAGGGCCGACGTCTGGGCCGGCTTCCGCTCCTTGACCTTGGCGATCTTGATGTGGTCGGCCCAGGCGACCAGCAGCGTGCGGTCATCCTGCCAGTAGAGGCTGCAGCGGTGCAGGTCAGCCCGGACGTCGGCGCTTGGTGCCGAGATGAAGCTGATGCGCTGATGCGTGTTGGTGTCGTAGATGCGAACGCCGCGGTCGTTGGCCCACGCGATCAGGTTGGAGCGCCACTGGGTCGTGTAGATGGGGCCCTCGCCGGCGTGCAGCACCACCTCTTTGTGGCCGAACCAGCTCTTTTCGCGCTGGACCAGGGCGCCAGCCATGCCGCCGCAGACGAGCGCGCGCGTGCTCTTGCGGCCAAAGTTGGGCTCGAGCGAGATGCAGCGCATCGGCCGCTTGAAGTCGAAGACGTACTGCTCCGACGTCGAGAGCGCCGAGACCGACACCATGCCGTCCATGCTGGCGCTCGCGACAAACTCGCAGGTGGTGTCGATGTCGATGGCGAGGATGCTGGCCGTGTGGGAGCGGAAGCCCTTGATCAGATTGCCCTCGACGTCGAGGATGTAGACCATGCCGCCGTGGGTGCCGAGCGCCAGGAAGCGCGGCGAAACGGCGAACGCGCTGGCACTGTCCTTGGCGAGGATGTCGGATGCGCTGCCCTTGACCCGGGCGTACTTGAGGGACGGCTCGACTTCCTCGTCCGAGTCGTCGTCGTCTTCGACGTCTGACTCCTCTTCCGATTCATCCTTTTCTTCGTCGCCGGCACTGCCTTCCTCCTCTTCGGAGCCAGGCTGCTTGGCGTCCTCGGCGATGGATCGAAGGTCTTCTGTCTCATCTGCATCCTTGCTGCGCGCGATGGTCGCCGGACTGTCGAGCTGGGAAGACCGACGCCTGCCGTCGGTCGCCGGCTTTGGTATTGTTGCCGCGCGGCTCGGCCGGGCGCCGATGGTGTGGTCATCGTCACCTTCTGCGTGGGGACCATCGTCGTCCTCCAGGTCCTCGTCGAAATCCTCGTCCGTTGCCTCGTCTTCCTCGTCGAGCGCGTCTTCGTCCGTCTCGGACGCCCCGGTCAACAGGCCATCTCCGGGCATCTCTTCATCCATCAGCACGGTCATCCGCTTCTTGGAGGCGGAAGCAGTGCTGCTGCCAGCACGGTGGAGAGCCCTCCGCTTGTGCGTTGCTGCCGATGTCGGGGCGGCGGCCTGTTCCGAGGCTGTAGACGATTGCCACCTTGGTGGTCGCGTGTGCTTTGTTGGGGATGTCGCGAGCACAGTGTCGATGCGATCCTCCGAGCCTGTTCGGTCCTCGTTGATCGCAGTCTGGGTGTCATAGTCCATTTCCAGCTCCAGCTCGACATCATCGCCGGGGGCATCCGGGGAGAGCGCTGCGTCGTCTGTCCCGTTCTCTTCCACGGCATCCGCTTGATCCTGTGGTACCTCTTGTTGATCGTTCTGGCGATCGAGAAAGGCTCTCAGGTCGTCGTCGACCTCGACCTGCGCGTCAGAGCGCTGTGCCTCTGCTTCGTCTCCATGTCGATCGGCTGTCGTCTTGCCTGCCTCGGTGTGACCCTTGCTGACGTGGCTGCCGTCGGAGAGGGAGCTGCCGAGAGAGGGCCTGTCTCGCTTCGCGCCAGATCGTGTGGCGAGCGTTGGAAAGTGGTTGGTGGCCTGGCGCTTCTCAAGCTCCCTGGTGAGGGCCAGCGCCTCCTCGGGCGACGACATTGGCGGCAGAGGCACCGAGGCTCGGCATGCCGTCCGTCGTCGAGGAAATGTCTGGTGTGCTGTGTCGGTGGCCAAGCAGCGGCGCGGGTGGAGACGGTGGCGGCGGCGTCCGAACTCTTCGCAAGGATTTGATGCGAAGGAGACCTGGAGCGAGGTGTATAGCAAGGAGAGGCCAGGGTTGGTGATGGAGGATGGGAAGGGTCGAAGCGGCGAGCGGGGACCCTCACTGGCCCTTCCCGCATAAGTGGAGCTGGCTGCCGCGATCCTCGCTTGGGCGTGGGTCAGTGCGCAGCCACCGCTTCGCGACTTTGACCAGCAGTCTGAGCAGCTCCAACCCCACAGATCCGCTTTGGTACAAAGCTTGCAAGCTACCAGGGCCCTTTTGTGGAAGGATATGGGGATTTGGGGTGAACTGTGGCAGAACCCCAACAATATTGACTTTCTATCTGCTCTACAAGGGCTCCTGCTGCACAAAGTTGGTGTTGAAGGCACCTGCAATGCAGATTCAAACTCAGGGCTTGCTCAGGGCTGCAATATAAGCCATCCAGAGTGTCCGGAGCTGTTCTTCAAAACAACGAGATGGCACGATAGGGCTTTTTGGGTAGAAAATATAGAAACTATTGTTCACCTGCAGCAGACAGCCTTGCAAGGCCATCTTCTGGCCAATCTTTGCATCTGCGCATGCCTGAGCATCAGGACTAGCAGATGAGCAAGCTTGCAGAGTCTTTCACAGGGCAGGTGGGGAGATTTGTTGGGCAAAGTGCTGAAAATGCTCAAAAATTGTTGGGATCCGACATTCTACCCACGCATACTGCCTTGCAGGGCTCTAATCAGGCTGCTCCAAGCATCTTTGCAAGCCTGAGAATCATCACTAGCAGATGAGCAAGGTTGCAGGGCTTTTTGTGGTGCAAGCTGGGGATCTGTGGGGTAAAGTGCTGAAAATGCTCTGAAAAGGTCAAAATCTGCTGTTCTCTTGCAGCAGACAGTCTCGCAACACCACCATCTTGGTGCTCTGTCAGTCTTTCATATTGCATCTGACTGTATTCTTACATTTCATTAGGTTTAGTTAAGGTGGCCTCCCTGTTCTTCTTTCACTAGTTCGCCGGGGCTAGATATGTAGACCATGACAGTCAAGCCGACAGTCGGACCTGCGCCGGTGCATGCCCAGCCACGGCCCAACCGGTTTGCGGCCATGTTGACAAGACGTGCAGCTCCCCTCGTCTTTCCCCATTTCACGACCCCTTGTCGCCTTGTCAGCCGATAGCATCGCCACCGACAGCCACCAAAACGTAACGACATCCATGCGACGACGACAGCGACCGGGCAACCACCGCTCAACCCGTGCAGCCACGCATCTGCAATCAGCGCAACCCACCCCCACCGCAGGCGTCGCCTCGTAACGCACCGACGACCGGTTGCGCGTGCCGTCCGCTCGCCCTCGCATCGCTCCCGTTCGGTCCGTGCCGGTCCCCGTCTTGCTCACGTCGGCGCCCGCCCCGACAGGTTGGCCTGTCACACCGCCGCCGTCGCCGCCGCCGCCGCCGCTGCCTGCCCGCACCTCACCGAGCTCTGCATGCCTTGGCTTGCATCGGATCACCCGCCTCGCGGCGTCGTCGCCCGGACAGCATTGGCCCCGACCCTAGCGCACGCACCGCAGCCACACCTCGGACGATGACCTCCGACTCGCACGGTCAAAGACGTACTGCCTATTCCGAGCGAGGTCGCACTACCTGACTTTGACCGCCGGTATGGCTCAAGCTTCGCTCCTCGGCCTGACCCGCCCGTCGCCGTGGCTGCCCTCGGTGCCATCTCGTTCCCGTGGCCACGCGCCGTTGACAACAGCCACAGTGCTGCTGACGATGATGATATCGATGTTGCTGCGGCTGCCGCGACGCCCCTTGACCCAGCCCCGAGCTTGTATCCCGTCTGAACGGCGAGCGGGTGGGTCGTGCAAGCCGCCACCGGCCACGATGCTGCGGCGCGCAGTCGGTGGCAACCGCGATTCCTATTGTCCGGCAATCCTCCCGCTGCCAGTCTACGCCGCCGCGAGGCCCACGGCTGCTGTCCGTTGCTTCACGATGCACGCGTTGCAACGGCTCCTGCTTGTGCCTCTCCGTACCTCGTCGTCGTCGTAAGGGTCCTCCCACCGGCAGCCAACTTGCTCCTGCGCCATTGCGCCCACTTCCCGCTGCGACTCGCTCGAGTCGCTCCATGATGGGCCCCCCCCTGCCTTGCTCGATGTCGACACCGACAAAGCGTATAAAGCAAGCCCCCGACAGCCGCCCCCATCCCGGTCGCCCCATCGCCCTCATCTCCATCTCTCCATCGTCTCTGCGAGGGTACTTTACCCCCCCCCCCCCTTCTCTCTGTCCATCTCTCTCCCTCTACCCACCCTGCTCATTTCCCATCCCTCGATACAGTCCGGCACTGTGCGTCGACGGTCACCTGCTCTCTCCTCTGCTTTCGCAATCATCGACCCGGCGTCGACGATCCATTTCTGCTTGATTTCACTGCATCGCAGCAAGACACCCACCAGACGGACAATCCGAGTACTGTTTCTGTACCTCGAGCAGCGCAACAATGAAGGCCTCGCTCAGCTTCATCCTCGTGCTGCCCCTCGTGGCCTCGTCGCTCTCGCTCGGCCTGGTCGCCGCTCAGGACGGCGCCCGCCACCACGGCCTCCAGCGACGCTCGCACCATCACCGCCTGGGCCGCGGCATGGATCAAACCGTCGAGGGGGCCGGACTGCTGCGTCGAAGGTCCAAGAACGTCAAGTGCAGGTCCGCCAACGCCAACTCGCCCTCCGAGGAGGGAGGCGAGCACGACGCCGTCAACGCCCCAGTCGGAGGTGTCGCGGCTGGTGTTGCCGCTGGCGGTAAAGGGACCGGATCAGGCAATGGCAAGGACAACTACGGCGGCGACTCTGGCACCGGAAGTAGCAGCGGCAGCAGCGATAGCACTGGCAGCACCCACGACCACACCAGCGGCGGCAACAGCGGCGGCAACAGCGGCGGCAACAGTGGCGGCAGCAGCGGCGACAGCAGCGGGGGAAACAGCGGCGGCAACAGCGGCGGCAACAGCAACGCCACACAGCCGCAGTTGCAGCCGGGATCCACGCCCGACAAGAATCTCGCAGGCAACGCCAACTCGCTCACGGTGCGCGGCAAGGTGTCGTCCGGCCGCCCGCCCGCGGGTCAGGACTGGAGCCTGCTCTCGCTCTCGATGCTGTGGAGCGGCAAGGGCACCACCTTTGGCGGTCCGGGTGCGTGGCAGGGCGGCGCGTGCATGTACGACGACATGCCCCACGCCAACCTGCCGGGCATCGCCATGAACCAGCGCAACTGGGTCGACGGCTTCGCGTGCGGCGCCTGCGTCGAGATTCAGCACACGCCCGTCAGCACCTTCAAGCCCAACACGCAGTGGACCATCGAGGAGGGCACGCAGGTCTCTGCAGGCCAGCAGCTCACCGACCCGACGTACGCCATCGTCATGGACCTGTGCCCGGGCCTGGAGCAGTGCAAGAGCGGCCTCGACCTGCACCCGGACGCGTGGCAGAGCGTCACGGGCTCCACGGACGGCACCGAGCTCGAGATGAAGTGGAAGTTCGTCAGCTGCGAGGGCGTCTTCCAGCGGACGGGCGGCGGCGACAAGGCCCTCGAGATGCGCTGGCGCAATGGCGCGTCGCAGGGCTTCTGCGACTTCCAGGTGCGCGGCGCCTACCGCCCCGTCGTCCAGGTCGAGTACCAGCTGCAGGGCAGCTCGCAGTGGACCAAGGCCAACCACCGCGACAACAGCTTCTTTGAGGCGCCCGGCTGCGGGCCCAACGACAAGTTCGCCTTCCGTATGACGAGCGCCGACGGAGAGATCATCGAGAGCCAGGGCGGATACGCCGCCATCGGTCAGAACATGGTCTTTAGCGGCGTCAACTTTGCCAAGTCGTCCTAGGTCACCGCGCTCGTCGGGTATCGCCCTCGTCGGCCGAGCAGCAGGCAGGCAATCGTTCAGCGGGCCCGAGAATCACACACGCCGGTCGTGTGCAAACGGGCCGCGCGCGCATGCCGTGGACGTCGACGTCGTCGTCGTCACGGCGAGGTAGGGACTCGTGACTGGCCGGTCCAGTCTGTCTTCCCTCACTCGTGCCATTCTCTCTTTCCAACGGCCTCACTGGCTTCAGTAACGGTACAAGTCATCTATTCTTTGTCGCTCCTTGATCTTCGTTCGTCTTATCGCCATTCCATGTCATTCATTGCATCTCGATCGGTCGGCCCGTACCGTCCTGGGGAATTCCTATCCTATCGACCCACTCAGCCCCTCGCCTCGCCCTGTCGGGCTAACTGTCTCCCTCTCTACCCCACCAACCATCTCTGGTCGTCCCATACTAAAGGCAAGGCGGGCTACAGGTCGTAGCCATGACTCGCCAGCCATTCAATCCTTCACCTGCCCTGCCCTGTCCTCTTCCTCGCTCGTACCGTGATCGGTACTGTCCAGGGTGGACGTTTGCCTTTCTCCCGCACATCCACGATCCTCGCTCGTACTGCATACGCGCGTCGTCCTGATCGAATCAGCGGCTCGCGTAGCCCACCCCGTCGTTTCGACGTGGGACTCTCCATTTCCTCAGCGGGTAGTCTGATCCTTACGAGCAGCCGGTAAATGAGTGTACGTGGATGGACGCAAGGGGGAATGGCGTCTCTGATCCACGCACGGCGGCCGTGGGCCTGGAGATCGTCCCCTGTGCTCTTCCTTTGCGCGGAGTTGCCATCAAGGATCAAAGTACAGCAGCAAGCCTTGCGGTTTGCGACAACATAGAGACGGAGGGGAGAAGGATGATGATCGAACAGCAGAGAGGGACACGAAGTCGAGGACGAGGAAGTCCCTGGGCGGCATTCCAATCCTTATCTGCTAGTCCCTAACCTAGTTCCCCCACCGCAATCTTCGACACCGACCTCGCCGTGGGGCGAGGGAGAATGGGCTTCGGAACGGGTACGACACGGGCGGGGCAGGGATCAAGGTCTCATGTCAGTCAGCTGACGAGAGAGACCCTCTTGCGCACACACACGCACACGCGCGCGTGCGCCCTCGCACGCCTTCCTGCCTGGCCAGCCTGCTCTCGGTCTCGAATTGCAAACAGACGCATGTTGTGCACAGAGGTGAGCTACAGAGCCTGCTGGTACACTTCAGAGGGTCCCGTTCTCGTTCGATCATCGCCCGTGCGTGCGTGCTACCGGTAGGCTGGGACCAGGACAGTGCGCAGGTGTGCGCGACGTGCCGAGGAATGTTGGTCGCTCGACCTACCCGACCGCACCCGGGAGGCGGGGTGAGCGGGCCACTACTCTGTATCTCTACGATGGTGCGGTTGCAGCCAGGGCCTGGTCATTCCGATGTGGGCATGATCACCATCGAGTTGGATCGGATCGGATGACGATCGTGGAGCCTGTCGATGATCCCTCTTATTCCCCTTGCACGTCAGCGCGAGGATAAGCGGACATGTGGCTGCCACAATGGTGCGCTCACCCCCGCTGCCTGGTCGGCCGGGTCTGGCTTGCGGTCGAGATGGCGCACCCGTCGGGTCGTCGATCAGGCCTTCTAGGCTGCCGCGTCTCCTTAGAAAGGGTCTGGTTGGACATGATTTGACCCGAGCCGAAGGTATGGCATGGTACGGTCTTGCACGATACGTCTGCTCGAATCCAGTCCAACCCGATCAACCTCCAGACGAGGTTCTAACGAGGGGGAGTGGGGCGGTGGCGTATGTAGAGTACGGTGCGTGGTACGGTGGTTCGAGATGCTTCGCAATGCCCCTTCATCGCATCGTCCGTCCTGCGTGCTATGCCGATGACCACAGCTGAGACGGTTGCGTCTTTCTGGGTGGGTGCAAGCAGGCACTCTACGAGCAGATGCTCCATGCCAGGGCGCCATGGTCATGGTTCGGGGCGGCGAGTCTTATCGTTTGCGCATCTCACCCTCTACCTGTCATGAGCGTGTCAGAAGGGATTAAGGGGGGGCGAACAGGGGCAGGGGATGATGTGCAGCTGATGTGCACGAGGGGGCGAGGGGGCGTGGCGTGATGCCTGGCCTGCTCTGGCCAGGCAGCACGTTCTAAGGTCCTTGTCGTCGTCAACGTCGTCGCAGTGCGGGATGAAGAACAAGCCGGTCCGTCGACGACGGGAGTCCAAGAGCATGCTGCACCCCTGCCCTGACATGCCATGCCATGCACTGCGCTGCGCTGCGGTGTAAGGGCGAGCATGGTCTGCTGGTCCGTTCGTCTGCAAGCCGAGCACATTTTACACCTCGTCTGGCCCTTGGCTGTTGGCGCGAGGTCAACGGAAGCATCTCTTTGTTCCGTCGCCTGACTCCTTTGCAGCGAGGTGAAGAGGAAAGGATCCGCTCGACACCTGGACCAGTCCCGTTGCTCTGACCAACAGGCCGCTCGGCGCCGCAGCAACACACCTTCCTGCCTAGCGCCGAAAGCCCTGCCAACGACGCTCTCTTCTCGTTGTTGTCTGATGGCCACCGCCCTGTCTCGACCCAGCGACGCCTCGCGGATCTTCGCAAAAGAAAGGTTGCCAAAAGAAGCTTGGCGCGACAGAGGGTCCGGCGGCACCGGTGACCGGTGGGGGGTTCATGCTGCACAATAGGACTGGAATAAGAACGAAGAGTCGACGGCCGACCCAAAAGCGCTCCCCGCATCCTGGATCGTGCGGAGGCCGAGGCGGACGCAAAGGAGGCGGGGGGAGTCCAGTGAGTGTTCAGTAGTACGTAGCCAGGAGGTCCAGGCCTAGACTCCTTGACCAGCGTCCGACCGACCGACGACGGCCCTGATCCGACCGGTATACCGACGACGACGACGACGACGCCGCACACGGGACCTGTTTGATTCTCAGATTCCTCTTTTGTCGCGCCCCCCGCGGGTCATGTCGCTCGCGCCCGCCTTTTTCTCTGCCTCGCCCTTCTGTGCGTCGTTAACTACAGTCCAATATTCGTGAGATCACGCGGTTCGAGAGCCGCTCTGGCGTAAGCAGGCTCCAAGATCATGCCCCAGTTTCCGTGTGCGGGCCGCTGTGCGGGGGGACGACCAATGGTGGGGCGAGTATGTACACAGTGTGGGCGACGTCGAGCGAGCGCAGCGGCCAAGAGCCAAGAACGAGGATTGGTACTGTGCGGAAGCGAAAGAAGCTGGACCAGGTCTTGGCGGACGGGAGGGCCAAGCGAGTCGCCGGTCCTTCCATATGCTCGCTGCTGCGAGGCACGGCACCGTTGGACAAACGGGAGAAAGGGTAGGAAAGACTCTTAGACTGCCAGCTTCTCTCGAGGGTTGCCTTCTGTCCTCGAAGTAGCCGAAAAGAGGTGGGTGCAGGGATGAACGTCTCGTGGATGGGCCACCTTGCCGAACTCGTCGTTGCGGACATCGGAAGAAGCGGCCGGCATGGACCTGGCCGCACCCCTTGTCCAGGGTTCTGGTTCGAACGGCGCCTCTTCGCTCGGTATGGTGGGTCAGGCGAGCAGCGCAGGCGAGACCATACTCTGTACGATCAACGCCAGCGACGGAAATCTTTTGCTGTGCTGCTGTGCTTGGCTTTTGCTCTTCGCCCGTCGCGGGCCTGGCGCTGCGCCGTCGTCGCGGTGCCGTCGCCTTTGCCTCCTCTTCTCCAGTCCGTACGTCTGCTCTCGACCGCCAACGCCACCCGCTGCTGGACCCTGACCTCATGGTCGGCTCGGTTGCCGTAGCGAGATGTCCCAACCGCTACGCGACGATGCGATATGCCGGTACCACGACTACTAGCTGAAAGCCGCCAATCTTGACTTGCCTTTCCACGCCTCGCCGTGGTGGAGATGGCCAACCGCGCGGTCGTCGACCCCGCTGCCGCTGCGCTGTCGTCGGTGTGGACGATTGCGTAACGTCGCAGCGGTCATACTCTGTCAGCCTCAGCCTACCACCGCGTATGTGCTCGTCGGGATCTCGATTGAGCACCAAGCAAGGTGTCCGCGCATGTCTCGTCTTGACTTGTTGCTGGGGCTCAGCCAGTCGTCCGCACCTGGCCAGGCCTGGGCCTTCTTGGCATTCCTCCGACCCGTCCTGCCGACTGGCCAGCAATTCTGGGTGTCGCAGGCCGTCCCGCGCTTAACCCTCGTCGACCTCTCTTCTTTGCACTATACGCGGCCATCGCGGCCGCGCCGGATGGCGGGAAGGGCTTTTGTCGACGACGCGATGGGGGCTTGGCACATCGACGTCGTCGTCGTCGCAGTCGTCGTCGTCACCAGTCGTCGCCAAGCGCGGCCGTGGAACGGCGGCAGACGCGCGCGTGTTTGGTGTGCGGCCCAGCCGACCGGGGACCGGATCCGTCCTTGCTTGGTCTCTTTCGGTGCGGCGGGGTCCCGGTCGACTTGAGCGGTGCGCGGTGCCATCATTCCGCGTCGAAGCGGCCCCCGTCGAAGCTGGCCATCTATGCATGCGTGCATGCCGGTCCGCCGCTTGCTTGCCCTCGTGCGTGCGTGCCTGCCTCTCGTCTCCCAGGCGTCCGGCACCTGCGGCCGCTCCTTCGTTCAACATCCGTCGCCGTCGTCGCCGATCGAGATCGTCGTTAGGATCGATATCGGACGCGACGTGCGCTCGACGGCAGTGCAGCGCAGCGTGGTCTCGACCTGCATCGCCATCGGATCGAGCCCGGCTCTGGTTCGGCTTCTCCTGCCTCCTTGCTCCCTTTGCCCCGCCCCCCATTCCAGCCTTTTGCCTTCGCGGCAGCAGCCGGGTGGGTGGATGGGTGAGCGTCAGCGGCACCGGCACCGGCATCACATGCACCGCCTTCCCCCTCCCCCGGCCTGCCCCTCTAGCTTGCCGCCGAGATTCGCTGCGTTTCCGCCCTCTTCTACGCGCACTTCGATGGATGCCGGGGTCTCACCTGTCTTGGCGAGAGAAGCTCGGCGACGACGACGGAAGCAGGATCAAGCAAGCAAGCAAGCAAGCAAGCAAGCAAGCAAGCAGCGGTCAGGATCCGGCTTCCTTCCCGAGCTTTGCTCATCGATCTGCCTCTCGATGGGGAGGTGACCAATTGCCATTCGCCGCGATATCTCTCTTTCGCATTCGGCTCGCCCCGACGACTCGGGTCTCGCTCCGGCCAGGCGGCGATGCCGTTGCTTGCTGGGGACTCGACTCTCGCATGCCGCCTTCTCGGCAGGTCCGTCTCTGACCTGACCTTGTCTGTCGTCGATCGACACCTCTCGCGGATCAGTTTCGGATAGCCCGTGCCGAAGGGGCCGACGGTGATTACAGAGCAACGAGTGCTTCCCTTCTCGGCATTGCCTACGAGCCAGCCACAGCCAGCTACCTGTACATACCCACTACTATGGTCGATGCTTGCTCTGCGATGACGGCGCCGAACCGCTAACGTTGATCATGAGCACCTGCACGCCGTGAGAAATGATATGTATGGCGGCCATGGAACGCCCACCTCGGTCGATCCAGGCCAGCACCCGGCTCCCGGTCCTTCCGAGCACCGTAAGAACAGACGGACGGTGTATAGCCCGTCGTCGGAGGTGGGGGCGGCATACAGGACAACAGCTGACGACGGTGCTAGGTATCCAAAGCGGGCGTTGCGCCAACAACCGTGACGGGATCGCAGCCCGAGCAGCCTCGCGCACGCGCCTAGCTCTTTGGCTGGCCGGCCTAGGCCTCTTCTTGCGGCCGGTCGATGGTGGCGTGTGACGGTGGTGAGGCGATGATGAGCTCTCGTCTCGCCGTTGGGATGTTGCTGCTGCTGCTCCTCTGTCCCCACACCCGGGCAAAGGCATCGATCGTCGTCGCGGCGCCGTTGTCACAGGCTAGGCCGGGTGCTACCTCGATGCGGCGCCCGCCAACTACCTACTGCTCCGCCTCGCGATCAGCCTCGATGGCATGTTCACCTGCCTGCCTTTGCCCGGCCCGTTGAACTGGGCGCTCGCGATGGCTCCAGACCGAAACCAGCGTACGCTAGATCGGACGAGATGATGTGAGCATCCCGCACCAGGCGCCACCGCACAGCACCGCATCGCATCACCGCCGCCGCTGCCACCGTCGTCGTTGCACCTCGCTCGCCGTCGTCGTCGTCGCCGCAGGTGTTGACGTCTAGCCAGCTGCAGGCCGGGGAGGCGGCCGACTTGGCCGTCTGTCTGTCTGCCTGTCGTTGCCGCCGCCGCCGCTGCTACCTGCTGGCCTCGTTGCGCTGGTTTGCTTGGCAGACGGCAGGCAGCGTGCGCGCGGGCTTCCTAGGGTGCGCGCTTGTCTGGTCCAGGCTCCGAGGATCGGGTCGCGCTGCGGGCGGGTAGCCCTGCCGGCCTGCCTGCCTGCCTGTCCAAGGCCCCGCGCTGCGCCGCCCTAGCCTCTTGCGTGGCCGGCCTGGCCTTGCGTGCTGACCCGTGCCCTCCGTCGCCAGCCTTTGCAGCCATGCATCCAGATTTTGGCAAGTCGGATGATTTTCGACCGGCCTAGCCTGCTGGCCTGACCGCACGTCTGCCGGCCTGGCAAGCAGCAAGCAAGCAAGCAGGCCAACCCACCAACTTTCAGCCCAGCCGCAGCGGGCGGGCCGGCGCATTTGGCCGGTAACGCCATCTGTGGTGTCTAAACGCAGCCTTTTGGGGCGTGTCGTGGGCGGCGTTGCTCGTGCTAACTACTACTGTACATACCTACGACGAACAGGCTGGACCTACGATACCCTATGGTGAGGCGAAGGAGCGAGGAGCTTGCCGTTACGTATGTGGTAGCTGTCGGCGAGGTGGCGGCCGGTGGCGGCAGGCAGCGGCGACGGAGAGCGCCGAGGCACCCAGAATCTGTCTCTCTCTGCGGCTCGAGGAGAAGTTTTCCTGCGGGCAGGGCAGGGCGAGCGCGCGGTTGCCAGCCTGCCTGCCTGGGGGAACTTGCGGCGCGGCGAGGATCAGGGTCAGCCAGGGTCCCCGCTCAAAGGGCAGCCAGGCGGCCAGGGAGGAGCAGCAGGCAGCAAGGGCTCGCCCAGGCCTCCAGCTCCTTCTCCTGCTCCTGCTCCGCCTCTCTCGCCCTTCTCGCCCCTCCCCCCTCCGCCTCGCCGCTCGCCGCCATTCCCTCGCCCTGCTGCCACGTCGGTCAGGACACCCTCGCCCTCGTCCTCGTTCTCGCACCACTACCACCACCATCACCACCAATCCGACTCCCCTTCTCTCACCCATCCCGGCGTCTTGCCTGCTCTCGACCCGACCCCGCCACCCTCCCCACCGCCCTCTCTCCCTGAACACCAGCACCTTGGCCGCCCCATCTCGCCCTTCTTCCATCGACGCCCTTTCCGCTGGACACATCTCGGCCCTCGCCCCACCCTCCTGCCCGACCACAACCGCGCCTCATCACCGCCCTCGTTACCCTTGCGGCTTCCTTCATCGACCCGCCGCGACACCCCGACCCGCCTCTTTGACAGCTGTGGTCTCTTTGTCTCGTCAGACACTCGACGTGCTCCTCGCCGCCTGGCACCTATCTCTTTGCACCATCTTTTTTCGCCCCGCTTCTCGGATCCAGGACCCTCCCAGCCACACGACTCTGGCCTAATCATTCTGAGCGCTCCCTGCCCGGACGAGGCCAGAGCATGACGGCCGCCACAGCCTCTAGTCCGATCCCTGCCGAGATTCGATTCGATCCCTACCCCTTTGCCAGCCGCAGCCGCCTCTCCCTCGCCTCGACCGACTTCCTCTCTCTCGATTCGGCCGGAGAGCCCCCCGCCTCAGCAGCCTCGGTCGCCGTCGCCAACCCACGCGCCGTCCCAAATTCGGCCCTCCAGCGATCCGAACGTCGCTGCTGCCGTTCGGACCGCGTCAAAGACGGTGCCGACAAAGCCCTCGACAAGGGATTCAGGCAGGCAGGCCCTATACCCACCGACCTCATCAGCCCGACCAAAGCGAGCGCGGCTTCGGGCTCGCGCATCGACACCGCATCCGCCTCCGCCACTCTCGACTGCATGCGTGCACCCGTGACCGCCGACGAGACTGTCGTTTTCCGGGAGGCGGGACCCTCACGCTTGCCCCGATCCAGTGGCACCCTCGGCGATGATGATTTGCCCGTCTCGCCCCTCTCGGAGGACAGCAGTTTGGTATCCCCACCCGCAAGCACACCTCGGGCTACCTCGCCCGCTTGCAGCGGACCGCCATCGCCCAAGGGCAAGGGCAGGGCCAGCGAAGAGGAGCTCGCAGCCCTCGATGCTGACAGCCTCTCGCATCAGCATCAGCAGCAGCAGCAGCAGGACGTGCAGCAGCATGGCCTGATGCCTGGCCTGCCGTCTTCGACGACCGACGACGCACTGACAGCACAGTCCGCAATCTCGCAAGAACTCACTCGACCCCTTCTTCAAGCGCTCGATGAGGCACACCGCGACCAGCTTGAAGTGGAAAGCATCCTGTCCTTGGATCCTGCCCCATGCCAAGGCGGCGGACCGCATATGCAAAATCGCTGGCCCCCTCCCGCTTCTACGCCTCCCCTCCACGAGCAGCCACCCGGGAATTCAGAGGACGACAGCACACCGACACGAGCTGCGACAGCTCAGGCGAGCGCGGAGCGCCACGCTGTCCAGCGGCCTACTGCCTCTCGGACCGCCTCTGGCTCAAGTTCGAACCTAGGCTCGGACAGCGACTTCCAAGACGCCTGCGAGGTCCTCGATGGCGCAGGCAGCGCTCAGCTCGATGCCGCAGCCCCGATTGCACAGCCCGCGACCGCTGTACAGCCGTCCTCGGCTACGGCAAGCTCCGAGCAGCACATCGCCGTCGCCATCGCCGTGGCAGCGGCAGCGGTCGCAGAAGAAGACAGCAATCGGCCAGTCTCGGCCGCCCAGCCCGACATCAGCCGCACGCCATCGACTTCGACGACTGGCTCGAGCCATGCGGGCAGCGTTGATACGGCCATCAGCTCGTCGCAGTCGACGGCCGCCTCGAGCTGCCCGGGCTGCGCCGAGCAATCCTGCGACACGCTCAAGATCACCGTCGACGGCGAGCCAAGCGTCAACGCCGCCCAGGATTCACCCCTCTCGTTCGTGTCTGAGCCCGAGGCGCTGTCGGGGCTTGACATTCCCTCGTCGGCTGCAGCGACATCCGACGTCGATGTCGCCGCAGAGCGTGCGGCGGACATTGCTGCCGCTACCGCCATGGCCGCCTCGACGACCGACGCGACCAAGCAGCCCTCGCCCGGGCAGCAGGACAAGGCCGTCCAGGCCAAGGTGCGCCGGTACGCCGCTCTGCTCGAGCTGGTCGAGACCGAGCGCAACTATGCGGACGATCTTGCGACGCTCGTGCTCGTCTTTTTCGACAACCTCTACACGATGCCCTTTTTCGAGGACCAGCCGGCCCGCCACGCGCTCGTGATCCGCAACTCCGAAGACCTGCTGCGCCTGCACCAGCGCCTCTCTGCGCGGATGGATGGCGTCATGTCCGAGCTCGGCCTCCGCAAGGGCGGCTCGTCGTCGACAGCCAGTGGCGGCGGCAACGGCAGCGCGGCTGGCTCGTCGAGCCTGCTGGCCAAGTCGGATCTGGAAAAGGCGCTCAGCCCGCAGGCTGACGAGGCGGTCATCCGCATCGCCCGGCTCTTCACGGGTACCGCGGCGGCCTTGCAGGGCTACAAGGTCTTCTGCTCGAGGCATGGCGAGGCGCTCGCCCTCATCCGCGAAGCCGAGAAGCGGCATGCCGACTGGGATGCCTTTGAGCGCCGGTGCTCCGAGATTCTCCGCATGAGCCGCGCACCTGGCTACGGCCCTTCGCGCCCGCCGTCGGGTGCCTCGACGCCCGGCGTGTCGTCTACGTCAAGTCCGGCCTCATACTTCACGCCGCTCCACATGAGCTCGAACGCGTCCTCGGCCACCACGGGCGGCGGCTCCTCGAGCACCGGCAGCAACAGCGCTGCTGCGACGCCCGGCTCGGTCCACTCGGCCATCCGTCAGAACTCGTCGCGCCTCCTCTTCCGCGACTTCCTCATCAAGCCCGTCCAGCGGCTGTGCCTCTATCCGCTGGTGCTGCAGACGCTGCTGAAGCACACGCCCGCCGGCGCCGCCGGCTACGAGGAGCTGTCGACAGCCATCGCCCAGATGCGGCAGGTGGCGGACGGGGTCGACGAGGCCGGGCGCCGGCGCGAGCTGGAGCTGATGGCGGACCTGATCACGTCGCGCGTCGAGTCCCACCACGGCGTCTCGCCCAGCTTCATCCGCTCGCTCGGCGAGTGCCGCCTGGCCGGCACGCTCGACGTCCTCCACCACCACCGCACCCTCGATCCGCTCGTGGCCCCGCTCCGCTTCAAGTACCTCGGCGTCTTCCTCTACGACGGCTTCCTGCTCATGGTCAAGGTGAAGAAGGCCCCTACCTACGAGTGCCGCCAGTGGTTCCCACTCTGGGCGGCGCGGCTTTCGAACGTCGACGAAGGGAGCAACCTGCTGCCGCATTCCTTCCGCCTCTCGGTCCGCAGCCATCACTTTGAGCTCGCTGCATCCAACGCGCGCGAGCGCCAGGTCTGGATCGCCGCGCTCTCCGACGCCATCTCGAACGCCAGCGTCTCACCGCCGGGCGCCGAGTCGAGCTTCCCATCTAGCCTCTTCCTCGGCAGCAGCAGCCTCGGCGATGGTTCCGACTCGGACGGCAATCCCTGCTCGGCCGGCGCGACGCCCAGCGCCAGCAGGGGCATCGGCGCGTCCAGCTACTGGGACGTGGCAAAAGAGACTGTCGCCGACCCGCTGATGGAGTTCTTCGCGCAGCATGCCGCTGGCAGCGTCGCATTTGCTGAGACCGCGCCGCCGCTGCCCTCATCGGTCGCATCGCCGACCTCGACGATCTCGACGACGGCAACGGCAGCATCTCCATCGGCATTGCACGGGATCGGAGGAACAGGCACGGGAGGGTCGGCTTCTGTCGCTCCGCCTGCCGCCACAGCTACCGCCTCCTCCGCCGCCGCCGCCGCCACCACAAGCGGCACCGTCAACTGGTTCCCGACCGAGATCTTGCTTCGCCACGCCTCTCCATCGTCGCGCGGCATCGTCGACCGCGGCATGGTCTTCTCCGACGCCGTTCTCAACGCCCGCCACTCTCGCGACGCCGGCGACATCTCTTCGCTCTGGCTGCCCCACAACCAGACCATCGGATCCGCCGTCGGCACCGCCATGGGCTTCGGCCGTCTGTCGGGCAAGGACACGTCGACCGTCAAGATCCAGCGGCGCAAGAGCTGTGTCGGATCGCTCGAGAGCGCTGTCGCTGGCGGCATCGCCGGCCTCGAAGACGGCCAGCTGCTCTTTACCGCCACCGTGATGCAGCCGGGCTCGTCGCGGGCGCGTCCGTCGGCCAAGTCGATTGCCGACTTCACGGTCAACGGCGGCATCGGTGGCGACTCGAGCTGGAAGGCTTCGCTTCGCAAGAAGGCCAACAAGGTGCGCCCGCCGAGCATCTTTGCGCCCGCCGGGCTCACGGTGGTGACCGATGACCTCACGTCGCCGCGCTCGCCGCGCTCGGCCAAGTCGACGCCGACGTCGCCGGTGCAGTCTTCGCGCGACCTCCATCCCATCGAATTCGGCTCGATGGTCGGCGGGGTGCCACCGCCGGCCGACGCCTTCCTCCAACCCAGCTCCGCTGCGTCGCCGTCCAAACGCCGCCAGGGCTCTGAGGATGCATCGATCTCGGCGACGTCGTCGCCGCGGCCGAGCTACACTCCAAGCTTCCATTCGGGCCTGGGCTCGACGGCGAGCTCGATTGTCAATCTGCGCTCGGCCGCCGCAGAGGCTCGCCGCCGGTCGAGCATCTACGGCGTCAGAGAGACTCTGGCGGCCTCGTTTGGCGGTCGCCGCGGCCGCACGCGGTCGGGTCAGACGGACATGACCGACCTGTCCGCCGACGCCTCTTCGCGGGGTGTTTCGCCGATGAGCTCCAATGTGGCGCTCCACCAGCTGCACGGGCACGGCGCCGTCATCGATGATGCGGATCGTCCGCCGCTGGACGCGCTGACCTCGGTCCTGTCGGCGTCGGCGCACGAAGGGAGCTCGGCATCCGGCAGGCTCAGGTCCGGATCCCGGCCGGGCTCGCTGCGGCGCGCCTTGACGAGCGCCTCGTTTTCCACGGGTCGCAAGCGGACCCAGAGCGACGTCGGGACGGTGCCAGGGGCCCGGGCCGATGCGGCCTCGGCGACTTCGACAGCTGCCGCCGCGGCAGCAGCGATGACTGGCCGAGGCAGAGTGACGGCAGGGCGGCTGGAGCGCACCGACAGCCACGTGACCATGCCGGTCGACGATCGCCGAGGCAGTGGTGGCAGCGTGACGGGAATCAAGGAGGGCCTCAGCCGACGCTTTGGCGGGAGCAATGGCGCTGCCGCCAACGCAGAGTCCCGGCCGACGCTGGGAGGCAGCCTGCGTCGATCAAGGACGATGCTGAGCTCTGGCCGGGCCTGGCTGGGCTCGCTGTCCGCTGGCAGCGCCCCGATGCCGACCGCCCCCGCCACGGCAGGCGTAGAGCGAGTCCACGCTGGCAAGACGTCCAACGGCTCCTCGGTGGCCGCCGCCGCCATCGTCGAGCAGGACGGCATTAGCCCAAAGAGTACGCCTACCGTCGGCATGGCCCCGGCCAGCCGCTTCCCTGGCGGCAACGGCCGCCCTCCGGCGACGTCGACCCCGGCATCGAGGCCCCTGTCGCAGTGTCGCAGCTTCACGGATCCCGAGCTGGCGGCCAAGGCGGAGGGGGGCAGACCTCTGAGCCGGGGACGTGAGGTGGCACGAAGCGAGTCGGCGCCCGCCGTGCCGCTGGTGGCCAAGTCGTCGTCTTCGTCGTTGTCGTCGTCGGACTCGCCGAAGCGCGGGTCGAGGATGCTCAACACGCTGCGCTTCCTGCAGTCGAACCGGCTCTCTCCGATCCCGCTCAAGGCCGTCGCCGAGACGGCGGTTGAGCACTCGGTCACTGGCGGCGAGGCGGCATCGTCGGGCGCCGCCCCTGACAACGCGGCTGGCACCTCGCGTCTTGGCGCCTCGCCGGTCAAGGGACGGACGAGCCTGCCTGCGCGGCTGTCTCTGCTCGACAACCAGGCCGTGGACGGAACGACGGGGCGCAAGGCTTAGCCCGCGTAGAGGCCGATGATGGTCGATACCCTCCTGCTGGCAGCAGTGGGCTACTCGGCTGCCACGTCTGTCGAAATGGCCGCCCTGCTCGAGGCAAGCGAATCTGGCAAGACCGTTGCGCATGCCGCTCCGCTGCCCACGCCTTGCCATCTCTTGATCCCCTCTGTTTTGTTCTGATCTTTTTTCTTCTCTCTCTCTCTCTCTCTCTCTCTCTCTCTCTCTCGTTGCCTCTCTCTCTGCCGGCCCATTTGTGGCATCCTCGAGGCCCGAGTATGGCATTCGCCGAGGGGAGCGCGTTGTTTCGTCTCGATACCCGCAGCATGCATCCTGCTTTGATCCCATCTCTGTGGCCGTGACCGCCGTCGTTGGGCCTGTGGTTTGTGCGGTGCAGCTGGAGCTGGACCCCCTCGGCTGCCGGCCGTGTGAGGCGTAGGAGCTCGGGAGCGTGCTTACCCTCCACACTTTTTTGGGCCTTGGTCGAGCCTCTCTTTGACCTGTGCCTTTGCTTCCGCTTACCCTCGCTCGCCGCCGCCGCCTCGCCGTTTGCACCTCCCCTCACCATTCTTTCTCGAGCTCGGCACGCCATCACATCTTCCCACCCCTCCCGCACCTCGTCGTCGCCGACGCCAACGCGCCCAACCGACGGTGTTGCAATGTCGTCGACTCTGTCGTCGCGCTTCAACGCGGCGCTCCAGCGCTCCTACCGCCGACGGCCCGGGCTCTGGACCACCTCGGTCACGACGCTGCGCGCCACGGCCGTCGCCGCACAGATCTTTTGCGTAATGCACCTCTTCCACGAACACGTCATGGAGGTCAGCCAGGTACGTTGCCTTTCCCTCCTTTGGTCGCAGGTCCAGGACGAGGAACGGCAGGCTGACCATCGTTTTCTTGTCTGCCCGCGCTTTCTGGACGCCGCTCAATGCAGAGCACGGGCTCGTCGATGCTGCCCACCATCGCCCTCGACGGCGACTACCTCCTGCACGTGCGCCTCCCCTTTCTCCGCTTCTGTACCGAGTCCTACCAACGTCTCGCCTCCTTGCTCCCCGCACCATCATCATCAGCATCCTCCCACCGCGACGACGGGCAGCAGCAGTCGCCCTTCTACTCTTCTCGGACCTGGGGCCACAAGCGCGTCGGCGGGCCGAGCTCGATCAAGACGGACCAGACGCAGGGGACCGGGCTGAGGATAGGCGATATCGTCGTCGCACTCAGCCCGGCCAACCCCAACCGCACCGTGTGCAAGCGCGTCATTGGCCTGCCCGGCGATACCATCTGCGTCGACCCGCGCATGCGTCCTATCCCCGACTACGCATGGAGGGGGCGTCGAGCGGCGACACCCACATCGATATCGACTCGGACAGCGAGGACGTCGTCCTCGACCACCAGCGGCAGCGGCGGCGGCAGCGGCGGCAGCGGCGGCAGCGGGGGAAAGAGGTTGGAAACCGACATCGACGACGACGATGTGGATCTGCTCTCGTCGATGGACTCGTCGCCCTCGGACGGTGGCGGCGGCTACGACGACGACGTCGAGGGTGGAAGTGCGCCCGCGACCGCGCCCGCAGTGGACCGACCGACGCTCGAACACGACCGCGCGGCGCTGAGCGAGCTGCGCGCCAGCACCTACCTCCGTTCGCGCGGCGAGGTGCAGTACGTCACCGTGCCCAGCGGCCACGTGTGGCTCACGGGCGACAACCTGGGAAACAGCACCGACTCGCGCCACTACGGCCCCGTCCCCATGGGCCTCGTCAAGGGAAAGGTCGTCGCAAAGGTGAGAATGAGGATTCAGCTGGACCCCGGATGAGCGGGTGCTGGTCTCTGACGCTGCTCGTCTGATCCCATCACTGGATTCTCCCCCATCGTCCGTCTGTCCGTCTCCTCGGCCGTATCCTATCGCAGGTCTTTCCCGGTTGGGCCTGGCTGGGCAACAATGCGACCTGAGCCAGAACGTGAGCCGGCGACACTGGTGACATTTTAGACGCTACAAATACAAAAGACACCGAGCGACGTGGCTCAGGCGCCGTTTTGGCCGACCCTCGATTCGGGAGATCACTGCCCGCCTTGCTTCTCCATGACGCCATCTGCGGGTCGTCCGCCACCGCCACTGCCGTTGCACCACGCGCGAAGCTGCCTGGCCATCTGGTATCGCTGCCAGTCGAGGATGATGGGCACCATGTCGCGCAGGCCAAACTGAGGCCAGAACTTTTCGACAAAGTGGAGCTGGGTGTCGTCGTTGCACTGCCACAGCATAAAGTCGGACAGGCGCGCCACGCCCGAGGTGCGCACCAGGATGTCGAGCGGCGGCGAGTGGGCCAGCTGCATCGACGACGAGAGGGCGTGCGGCGTCACGTCAAAGTCGAAGCCGTCGAGCAGGGCGGTGTCGTCTTCGGCTTCGGCGTCGGCTTCGGCGTCGGCTTCGGCGTCGGCGTCGTCGTCGTCGGCCGGCGATACAGAGAGGTCCTCTTTCTCGTCTTTTACCTCTGGCTGCTGCTGCTGCTGATGCGGCCGACGCCGCCGCCGTTCTGCGTGGAGGCGCTTGAGCTTGCGGTCGGCGCAGGTGCGGACTGCGCCGGTGATTTCGTCTCTGCTGGCGTAGGGCATGCAGATGTTGAGGGTCGCCTTGCGGTTGTCACGGGTCATGTCTTCGACCTTGTCGACGGCGGCGCGGACATCTGGGGGCAGGAGCTGTTTGCGGCCGACGATGCGCACGCGGACCTGGTGGCGTGCGACGACCTCTCCGTGACCTGCGAGTTCGAGGAGGCGGGTCTTTGCGATGTCCATGAGCGCGTCGACCTCGTCGCGGTTGCGCTTGAAGTTATCGATGGCAAAGGCGTAGACGGTGACGGTGTCGAGTCCGTCGAGGTTGAGGCAGAGCTCGAGGATCGACTTGAGCGTCTGGAAGCCCGTGAGGTGGCCGTGGCGGATCGAGGAGCCCGAGGACGTGGCCCAGCGGCGGTTTCCGTCCATGACGAAGGCGACGTGGCGCGGGATGGGGCCGAGGCTGAGGGTCGAGAGGAGGAGGTCTTGGAGCGAGGGGATGGGGAGCAGGCTGAGGAGCGAGAGGGGCGAGAGGATGGCCTGGCGGAGCGCCGATGCGCCTGCCGATGCGGGTGATGGTGGCCCTTGTGGTGCTTTTGATGGTGGTGGTGTTGGAGGTCGTGGTGACACTGGTGCTGTTCGTGTCGAGTTCCCTGCCGTTGAGGCTGCTGTCGTCGTCGAGGAGGCATCATTGGGAGGGTGCTGGTGGTCCAGGCCAACGCTCCCCCGAGCCGTCTGGAGGTGTGCGTGTGTGTCCATGGTCGACGCGGGAGAGGCAGCGTCAGCCGTGGACGAGGCCATGCTTATCCGATGAGACCGTTGGACGTCGGTGTCTGTGTGGCCTGGAGTGACCAGGGCAGGTGATGATGGACGAGGAAGCATGGAGGATGTGAGGCGGTGGCGGCGAGGCAACCGAGGATTCGCAGAAGGGTCCACCCGTGGTCATCGCCCGATGTTGGGCTCCCTCTGATTGCCCGATGGGCTCGGACGAGGCCTGCCTGGTTGGTCCCTGCGCACCGCCCGTGTCTCGTCTGGCCTCGACTTCTCGTTCCCGTTGCGTTGCTCCTTGACCCATACACCGCGCCCTTGCCAGTCCCCTCGCTCTCGCCACCACGCACATCCCTGTTCCACACCCATCCTGAACCGACTGACACCGCCTTGCGCTCGCATTCCACCCCGACACTCGCCTCCACCCTCCTCGGGCAGCAAGCAGCAAGCAGCGCACCCCGACCTCATGGACCAGGACCAGGATCCCTTTGCCGTATGGGCCACTCCGGACCCCTTGTCCGACAAGCCAGCAGCGTCCTCAGATGCGACACCGATCGCCTTGACATCAAGCGCACCCGATAGCCTCCGCGCTTCCCTCGACGGCGCCATCCCCGACGACGATGACGACGATCCAGGCTGGGGTACTCCCCCCGCCGCACTCGAGCCCTCTCAGCAACCTGGCAAGGCAGAACACGCGGAAACAGGCGACGCCAACGGCAGCCAGCCCGCTGAGCAGCTAGTTACAGCATCAAAGCCGACCTCGGACGACGACGAGAAGTCAGCAGCAAATACTCGAGAGGCCCTCGACGACGCAACAGAGGCGCAGGCCCAGCCAGAGGAGGAGGGGCAGCAGCAGCAGCAGGATCCCACCAACCTTGCCAAAGACCAGGACGCTCCGTCTGAACCAACACCATCGGCCCCATCTCCCCCCGCCGAGACCCCTGACACACCAGCACCAGCCGACGGTTTCGACGACTTTGACGACTTTGACGAGCCAGCCGGCACCACCAACGCTGCTGCCGCCGCCGACGACGAATTTGGAGACTTTGGCGACTTTGACGACGGCGCTGCTGCCGACGAGGGGCAGCAGGAAGCGTTCGAGGATGGCTTTAACGATCAGAGCTCGGCTGAGCCGGCCCCTGTGGCCGCAGCGACGCCATCAGCACAATCGGCGGCACCCGTCAGGTCCTGGTCGGCCTTGCCCGTGTCGCGCGACTCGAGCAGGGACGACCTGTTTGCCCCGGTCCAGGATCTCCTCCCCACATCCACCGCAGCGGCACAGCACATGGCGACCGACGGCCTCCGCCAGGTCGAAGGTCTGGCCCAGGTGCTGGTCAGTGAGCCGAGGTAAGTCGGGCGCGTTCGACTCTGACTTCACGCCGCTGCTGCTGCGACTGTTCCCGGACCAAGAGCTGATTGAGCGTGCCGGCAACCTATCCCCACCCTACTCTGCCACCTCGCAGCCGCCAGCTGTGGAAGGATCTCTCTGCGCTGCCGCCCATCAAGCCAATCGACTGGATCCGCTCCCGTACGCGGCGCGACTACCTCATCACGATGGGCGTACCCGTCAACCTTGACGAGATCCACAACTCGTCGCATGGGCCCCTGTCGGCCTCGTCGTCTTCGAGCGGATCGCGGCTTCCTCCGCTGCAGCTCAAATTCGACTCGTCGAGGTCAGCAGGGCCCAGCAGCGCCCTCTCGTCGGATGGCGTCGGGAGCGCGGGCCTGCAGAGAAGCAGCAGCGCACAGCATTCGCCGTCGGCCAGCCTGGGCGGGCCGATGGCGGGCCAGCAGCAGCAACGGAGCGCCAGTGCCTCGGGGAGCCCGCGCAATGGCACCCAGAGCCCGGCGCTTGGGCAGAGCAACAACCGCGAGCGCCTCGCCGAGCGGCGGCGCGAGGAGCTCGGGCTTGGTCCGCCGCCCGACGTCGATCTCAAGCGCGCAGAGGAGCTCGTTGGCAAGACTGAAGGTGAGTTGCGCGAGGTCGACCTGGGCTGCGATGCCATTTGCGCAATTAGTCGCGGTCGCTCGCTCACACACAGTCGTTCCGCATCTGTCACTTGCTCTGCTCTACTGTCCCGCGCATTGGCCTGCTAGATGATCTGTCGCTGCTGTCGCTGCCCGCACTGCGATCGATGCTGCGGGAGCTACACAGCCTGACGACGTCGACGTCTTCGCTGCTGACGCACCACCTGACGATACGCGAGAGCCACCAGGCCGACTCGGAGATGTACAACTCGATGATCAAGGAGCTCGTCACGGGCGCCGCGAGCCGGATTGGCGGCGGCGGCGGCGGCGGAGGGGCGGGCGTGTCGAGGAGCGGCAGCCTTCGCGGCGGCGCGGCGTCGTCGTCTTCGTCGTCGGCGGGCTCGGGGGCGGATCGGAGGGCGACTACGATTGGCATTGGCGCGAATGCGATTGCCAAGAACCGCGCGGCCATGGCGGGGGGCGGTAGCCGGCTGAGCGGACAGGCTGGCGGGTTCGTCAACCCTTCTGGGCTGCGCGGAGGGCGGGCTGGGTAGCTTTGGGGACGGTGGCAGTAGTGTCGTGTAGACTGAGATGAAGCCAAGCCTCTGGTGCTGCTGCTGCTCTGCTGCTGCTGCTGCCGCTGCAACTCAGCCCTGGGTTGGAGGCTGTGCGCTCGGCCGATGGCGTGGGCAGTGCGAGTGGCGTGGCCGAGTTGAGAACAAGACGGTCTGGCCAGCCTGGACCTCGTCGCCCCTATGTGGGTCCAAAACGCGTTTCGCCGTCGGCAGCCGCGCTTTGGCCACCTTTTGCCTCGAGGCTAGCCTACAACCTCCTTCATCACCACCACTGCCACCGCCACCTCCCTCCTCGCCCTCGTCCTCACTGTCAACCCGCCTTCGCCTCCGCGCTGGTCGCACTGACGTCGTCGCCCCCTTCCGACCCACGAACCCGGCCCCGTTGTCCCGCCTTTGACCATGACGCGCCCCTTTGCAACCGCATGAGCGCATGGCCCCTAAGCCCCGGCCCTGCCTTAGGCCATCTTCCGGCACCCACGACACCGCCCCGACGAGCTCGATCCTGGCGCAACCAGACGTGCAGTAGCCCAAGATGCCGGCCGAGGTCTTTGTCGCACCCGTCGACTCGCCCTCATCCTCATCGAGCAACTACAACAACAACAATAATAGCAACGCCCGCCTCACGTCGCCCACGCCATCCTACCTCTCCGCCTTTCCACACCGGCCCACGCAGCCAACGCTCACCACCGCCTTGCACCGCTCCCACTCACACGTCGACTCGCTCGCCTCGAACCCATCCTCTCCGCCAAACGCGCAGCGATCGAACTCGAACGCACCCGCCCATGTCCAATCCTATGCCTCCGGCAGAGGCGGCAGGCTTGCCTCACCCTCCGCAGCCGCAGCCAGCGCCACTGACTCGGAGCCCGCCACGCTCTTCTACCGCCGCATCCTGTTTGCAGACCTACCCTCCGACCAGCCGGTGCCCGCCCTGACCGGCGAAAAGGCCCTCGACGACCAGATCTACCTCCTTCTCGCCTACCTCCTCCGCGCCACCGTGCTGCCCTGGTACTCGAAGCTCACGCCCAACCGTCAGCTTCTCACCGAAATCGTCGCCATCATCCGCCACGTTGTCGATCAGATCGGTCCACGGCTCAGTGTTCAGCCCGCAGCGCAGCGGCCGTCGCGGGCCCGGGCGGCAGCCTCGCCGCCTTTCGCCCTCGAGCGCTACCGCCTCCACGCTCTTGTCGGCAGAGAGCTGCCGCTGGTACTGAGACAGCACTACCTCGAGGTTCGCGCCGCCAGGAGAAAGGCCGACACCGCGTGGGCACCTCTCGTCACTGCATCGCACTCGTCCAAAGCAGGCTACGACCTTTCGGATGACATTGCAGCGTCGACAGCCTCCCTCAGCCGCCACCTTCCCGCCACGGCGCTCGATCCTTACGACGACGACGCCGACGGCACAGACCACGACACAGAGTCGGAGCCTACGGCCTCGTCCGCCCGCATCGCCCAGCTGCATGGCTTTCTCTGCCCGCATCCCGGCGTCGACAGCCTGCATTCGGTCGAGGGACGGCTGGATCCAAGCTACCTGAGGATCGCCGTATCCTCGCTGCTCGGGTCCTTGCTCCCGCCCGAGGAGTGGGCCGTCCAGACGGAGCGATACATTGTGCGCGACGTCACCGTCATGGCGCTGCGCAACAGCCTCGGCAAGTGCAGCCGGCCCTGGTTCCTGGTGCAGAGCATCCACAAGGTGCTCGACGTGCTGCGCTGGCCCGAGGACAGCAGCGGCGCTCAGGCCGATGGCCGCAAGCGGAGAGACCGCGACATCGTAGCAGCAGGTGCTGGGGCGACCAGTAACGCGCGCACCACCCCGACGCCGCTGGAACACGTCGTTGGCCTCGCGATCCGCCTCTGGTCGCTGCTAACGATCCTCTGCACCATGGTCCTGCCCTACGTGGTGCGAGCCTACTTTGACCTCTTTGACCCTCACGCCGGTCCCGCTCGCCACGCCCGCGGCCACGGCTCCCAGGGCGCTTCCGAAGACCTCCTGGCGTCGTCGTCGCCTTCATCGAGGTCGCAGGGCGCAAAGCGACGAGAGCCCAGCCTGAGGCCAGAGAGAACGATGCACGGACGCTATCCTTCCGCCTCGGTCGGCAGCGGTTTCCTCCTTGGCGGCGGCGGCGGCGGCGGGGCTGGCAGACGAGGAGGGAGGGCATTCGAAGAATCCAGCCCTCCCTCCTCGACACCCGTCGAAGCGGGCGGTAGCGGTGCCTCGGCTCGGACCAAGGCCGGGTTCACTGCGGCCGCCGCCTCCGCTGCCATGGCCGAGTACGCGGTGCCGTGGCTCCAGCTGCTCGAAGAGGTGACTGAGGCGCGCACGCGGATGCTGAGCAGCGCCCTCTTTAGCCTGCTCAAGATGGGCGTCGGCTTCGCCGGTTTCGGCCAGACGATTGACAGGTGAGTGGATCGAGCGCCCCTGCGCTGCGGGCCTCGAATAGCTGGCCTTGCGCGTGCTTGCTAACACTGCAGAACCCTCGGCCGCTCTATACATACGCACGCACGCGTGCATGCACCTACGGACGTGGCAGGATCGTCACGGCCCGAGTCAATGCGACGCTCGACGACACGGCGGCGCTGAGCGACGTGGTGGCCAACCTGCGCAGAGGCATGATGCCCGACGGCCACCTCCCTCCTCCCGTCGCCGATCCCACGCCCGAGGTCCAGGCGGCCGAGTGGCGACGCCTTCGACGCCGCCTTTTGCAGGGCATGCATCGTGAGTCTTGGATCTTGCGGCAAGGCCGGGCTAGAGAAGGCCCTGAGCAACGCAGGTCGGCCTTTGGTCTTTGAAGGGATTGGCTGACTGACCCTCGATCCGATGCGATGCGATGCCGTGCTCGCTGCGCCACTTCCCTTGACTCTTCCCCAGCCAAGGTGCGTCTGGTGCTCCTCGGACCGGACTGGTCTCGCCAGTACGACGGCATGACGCGCTGGCTCTCGCCGCTGTGCGCGCCCGACGCCGCGGGCCCCAATACCCACCTGGCCGTCATGGTCCTGGAGCGCGTCATAGTCATGCTCTGCCCGGACCTCGTCGAGGCTTGACCGCTCGCCACCAGGCCGCCGGCCTGCACGCCTTCGGTCGCCTCCTTAGAAGGGCCGCTCCCCTCTCCTCGCCTTCCATCCCCTCCCCGCTCCCTCTCTGCTTATACCCCGCCCTCCTTGGTTTCTTTCTTGACGACGAGACGTGCACGATAACGGCCCTTTACGACTTTCCATCTCCTGTCGCGGCTGCCAGGCCTGGCCTGGCCATCGCGCTTGGCCGCGAGGGGCGGCGTCGGCGGTTCTTGATGGCGGCAAGGATGATGGGCATCGGTTCCGTCCCTGTCTAGGTGGACGTCTCGGCCTAGCCCTTGAACATGGCCCTGGAAGCATATCGGCCCAAGTGGCACAGCGTCGCATTTTGCGCTCGGGAGTAGGCCCCAAGGAGGCGATAAGGCGAGCTGGTTTGGGCTCGACGCCGGCCCTGTCTGGCTCGAGTCCGCTAGCCCGCCATCGCAGCTTCGAGGAGCATCGTCGAGGCAGTGATGGTGGACCCCAAGACGGTCCGCCTGCCGGTTGCTCTTGCCCGGTTTCGAGGGAGGGATACTTGCGGAGCTAGCTTGCGTCTCGAGAGGTGCTCGCTGCCATCGGGGGGCAGGCAGGCAGGCAGGCAGGCAGGCAGGCAGGCAGGCAAGCAGGCAGGCCCTCCCGCAACGCTTTCGACGCCTTGCCCTGCAAAGTCACCCGAGGAGAAACGACGATGATGCATCGTCTCGAGTCTCCTCCGTAACGCCCTCGCCTCTTGGGCCTTCTCGCCTCATGTCGCCTTGTCCCGAGCGGCGCTCTAGGAAAAGTACATGACCTCGATCCCGACGCTCTTGACGATGCCGCCGCCGCCGCCCGTCGTCGTCGTCGTCGTGGACCGCGGCCCGCCCACTGCGGCCGATGTCTTGGACGAGGCGGCGCCGAGGCCCGCACCGTCCAGGTCGGCACGGACGCCGAGCGAGACGAGGCAGTTTTTCAGCCGGGCCTGCCATAGCAGCCGGATGTCTGCCGCCGTCGAGATGCGCGCTTTCAAGACGCCCGTGATGGGCGGTAGCACGTCCGAGGCAGAGGGATCGGCCGACTGCAGAGCGTTCGACGTCGTTGCCGTCGGCATTGGCGCTGGTGAAAAGGCGGCTGGTGGTATGGCTGCCGAGGTGGATTCGGGCAGCGCAGTGACAGGCATATCCAAAGCAGGGGCAGGGTCGCGGAGCGAGTAGCTCGACGTCGGCTTCATCGGCGGCGCCGAGGATGGAACCGACGTCGAGGCGGCATCACTGTGCAGGCTCGGCGACTCTGAAGCGAGGTGCGACGATCGCAGCGCTGCCTCGGCGATCGCCTCGTTGGCGCGGGCCGACGGGCGCAGGTCGCGAGGCGCTGCTCCTCCAGCAGCAGTCACGGCTCCCGACTCCAACGTCGTCGGCCTTGCACCAGGCGGCGACGATCTCAACGAAGGTGGCGACGACATTGAATACGGTGCCGGCTGCGTCGCGGCCGCTGCCCCCGCTGCAGCCGCCGCTGAAGCCCGAAGCCAGTACTCGCCGCCGATGGAGAGCTCCGAGTCGTACGAGTAGACGTTGAAGTCGAAGCGCGAGCACACGGCAAGGTCGCGCGTCATCTTGGCGGCGTAGGCGGTGCTGAGGTGGCCCATCATGGGGTTAAGGGTGGCCGTGAGGACCGTGGGTGGCTGGCTGGGTGCGCCGCTGCCGCTCGTCGACGACGATGACGAGGGAGGCTCTGGTAGGGTGGCGAAGCGGATGCCCGTCGAGATTCCCGCGCTCTTTTCGACCGTCGAAACAAACACCTCGGCGCCAGCGCTGAAGCGCCCGCGCAGGCCGCCGCCGACGACCTGGTCCGGCTCCGACAGTGACGAGTCCGATGGTAGGCCGCTCTCGTTGATCCGCGCCTTGGCTCCAGTCGGCGCATACATAGCCGGTCTTGAGCTCAGGTCGGAGGCATCATCGGTGGTGATCGCTGCTGCGGCGGCGGCGGCGGCTGTTGCATCATCGGCAGGCGAGGATGACGACGACGAGGGCGTGCCGAAGTTGTGGAGCACGCGGAAGCCCCACAGCGCGTCGTCGGCCGAATAGCTGTACTCGGTGAACCAGCGGCCTGTGTCGTTCTGCAGCGTCAGCTGAAGGTTGGTCGAGCCTGGTGGGCCTGCACCTAGCGACGACGACGATGCGGCAGCCGCATTGGCGGCCTGGACAGCGGCCGACGACGAGGACGAGGCTTGGTGTCCAGCACCGGCGCCTCCAGACGCGACAAGGTTTGGATTCGAGTCGCCGAGGCTTCCGCCCTTTGCGCCGAAGCCGCTGGAGGAGCTGCCCGATGCGGCGAGGGCGGTGGCCGAGGTTGAGAGGGACGATGCGATGGCGTCGAGTGGGTATTTCGGCGGGGTGGAAACTGCGGTGACAAGGAGCTGCCAGGTGGGCGAGATGCGGAGCGTGTAGAGCGCGTCTAGGCGAGACGAGGGGAGGTGCATGCAGCCGTAGACGAGGTAGTCGCGGCGCTGGTCGATGCGCTCGCCGGCGAGCCAGGTGGGCTCCTTTGGCTGCGGGCGGCGAGGCGCCTCGGTGATGCGGAAGCGCTCGACAATCTGCTTGAAGTTGACATCGCGCGACGACGAGCCAATGTCTAGCGGAGTATCGGTGGACGAGTAGATGTAGCCCACGCCGCCGCGGAGGTTGGGCAACGCGGCGAGGCGATAGGATGTGAAGAACGACGACGCGGGCGCCGCCGAGATCGAGAGCGAGAGGCCCGAGGGGATGGTAAAGTCGAGCAGCGCCGACGAGGAGGCGGTGAGGTTGAGGTACGAGTTGTGCTCGTTCCAGCCGGTGGCCTCAAAGTAGCGGCGGAGGATGTGCGACACAAAGTCGTACATTGCGGGCACGTCGTCGTCGCCGGTCGTTTGGTCAATCGGTCGGTCGGTCGTCTATCTGGAGCAGGGGAGGGGCCAACTGGCAGGAGACGGGGGATCAACGCAGCCAAGGTACCGGAGGGAAAAGGATGCTAGTTGCGCATCTTTGCGAGGGGGCCGGTGGTGGCTGCGTGGTGGTGTTGGTGGTGGTGTTGCAGATGGTGGCGGCGGTGCGACCGTGGTTGCCAAAGGGTTAGGTGGATGGTGGTGGAAAGGGACGTGCGCCATGCGCCTCGCTCGCCTGGCCCGGCCAGGCTAAGCTGCTATCGGTAGCGTGATCAGGCCCGATTGAGCCAATATCGGGTTTCGATCTCGACGCCGCGACGCACCCTCCAACCTCCGCTGGCCTTTGTCACCTTGCCCTGAGACCTCAGGCGGTGCTGCTATGACCAACGGCCTTTGCTGAGGTGAGCTTCAATGGGCAGTTGGATTGCGATACAGTTATGCTGGGACGAGATAGGATGCAGCAAGGCAGGAGCGACCTGGGCACGTCGAACATCTCCTCGGATAGCGACCACGGCGCGCGCGTCCTCTTCCCGGCCCCGAACAGGACGCAGTCCCATCGGCGGCCAGGCACAGAGAGACGACGTCGGCGCATGTGGGTCCAGGAGCGAGGATGCTGGAAAGGAACACGGAAGAGAGCGGGCTAGAGAGGGAGTGGGGGAAGGAGCAGAGAGGAGAAAGGAGACAGATACGCAGAGAGAGAGAGAG